TAAGAAATCAACTGATTAACTGAACGACATTCTGTTTATTCGAACAATGGCTAATAACCAGGAAATCCCGGTGTAGGTAGCTTGCCCGTGCAATCACATAGGGCCATTTGGATTTAAAGAATGAGGAAGCTCACGCGTTTCAAAGTGAATGTATAAATTGCTTGTATATGAACGCTGTGGGTTTTCCGAAAGAGTGGATGAGTTGAGTGAACTCAGCAATGCTAACAACACTCATATGATTAGAATCTCTGAACCATGAACGTCTTCTCAAACTGCGTAACAGGAGCTAGCAGTACCCTGTATGCCTTTGTTTCTCAACAATAGAAGAACAGGGATGGGGGTGGCAGAGTAGCTCTTTACCTATGATCATGTTTGGAAGCTCACCCTGTGTACACACAGGAATTTACCAATCTTGATGAATCTGTATAATGCTAAGTACGACTGTTTAACACCTTGAGGTGTCCAGTTATAGTTGGCTACAGATAGTCCATTGCGGACACTGAGTTGTAAAATCGTATTGTGGGAGGATTGTCCGCTCTACTCACCTTTATTACGCTCATATCCCGATTCTAGGGAACTTCAACCCTTCAAAAGTCAAGCTTGCTGAACATACATTAGGAATAACAACTCTACTGAAACTCGGTTCGTCAAACTCATCGAAGATATGGGATTATTCGAAAATATCAGGTCAGTAACTCATCGGAAAAGTAGTTAGAAGCCATCGTTCCTAGAATGTGTTTTTGCAAATAAAGGATTCCTAATCGACAACCTCTCAATCTTGACTTCCCCGAGTGAAAGTGATCACGCCATCATAGCCTTCAGTCTTATCTGCAAAACTGAGCTAAGTTATCCTACATACAACATGGGTTTAAATATCAAACAGGACTCTCAGAAGTGGACATGAGAGCTGAATTGGTATATTGGAAGCTGGATCATCCAAGTAAAGACACTTCTCCTGATTGTGATATGGTTCATTCTTCCATAATGAGGGAAGCAGCTTCAATCTTGTGAGAACCGCTTAGCGTGATGTTCACACATTCGCAAAGCCGATACACGGCACCAGAAAGTTGGAAGCTGACTCATATTACAACAATTTTTAAGGGAAGCTGACTCAGCGTGTTTTCAACCTACAGGCTTGTAGCATTTATCCCAATGCCTTCAAAAAATATTGAACCTATTATATGTGACGGTTTACGCGACTACTTACTATCCATAAACTTCCTTTCACCCAAAAACCACGGTTTCGGGTAAGTCTGCTCTTGTATAGCCTACTTGCTAACTGCAGTAGACAGGTGAACAACCATCCTTGGTCGCAAGCGAAGGTTTGACATCATGTGCATTTACATAGTTACGCAATACAGCAGAAGAGACTATATATCCATCTTATATTCCTTAAGAGTAGCCATATCCCGGGATTTGCCGCCGACTGAGATAATCTAAGCCACTGTCTAGGAGTTCCAAAAGAGGAAACTTGTCATATTCTTGTGGACTGAGGACAGTATCTCGCTTACATTTACTAATTTTATTTTCCCTCATAAACGTATCTAGGTTCTTACCTGGAAGCATCGATGATTTATTACTGCTAGATAAGGAGACATGTCAAGCAGGAGTCTCTTTAATTTAGTCCAGAACCATTTGAGGCTATATGAAGTATGCTGTGAAGACATTGGATTTTGTAGCTGGTGCTCTTGTTGACTAGGTGCGTAGTTTTAAACCTTGCGTTACCGTGTTGTTCAGAAGATAGATGCAATAGCTGTAACCTTTATTGAATTGTCGGAGTTCATTTTTAGATATAATTACACTCAGTGTGTACGGCATATGCGCCTTATTTTCGAGCCACGAGCCTAATTTTTACAACAGTAAACCATATACATAGGAACCGAGCTAACAATGAAGATCTTCATTGTTAGCTTTTCAAACTGTGTATCTAACGTGAAATTTATACTGCTAATTTGTCTTTTAGTGTAATTCAGTTTACATATACGAATTTAAACTTTCTTTGTATGCTTTATCCGCGAACGAGTTAAGGTGTTAAGTGACGCGAGTGTGAGAAATTGTTCAGGAGATCTTCGATAATGACATTGTGTGTTAATAGCTGGCTCTTTGAGTACATAGCTTAATATCGAGGTAATATTCAACGGTGCGTTTTCAGTTGAAATTGATCGTACGACACCGGCAGCATATTCAATGAAATATCAATGTATGGAATTTGTTATAGTAAATCACATTGTGTCAGTCATTCGGTTACAACATAGGACCAGGCACATATGTGCATCGGTTCAAGGTGCCACACTTCATCAACACAGCAAGAAGAGCACCGGATTCACAAGCAATTAACTCAATGGTGTAATACATAAAGGAGAAATTGCATATAAGAATGTAGTACAGGAAGAAAGAATTGGTTCGTAGAAAGAAATATATAAAATAATTTTAGTCTCATAGTTTAAGAGAAGACAAAGAGTGTATACACCCACACCATTGTGGTCAATTCTGAGCCATGTTACTCAGAGTCTCCAACCATTGGTTACGATAGTCACGCGGACCCCAACCAAGTAGTCTGCATCTACCAACATGGCTCGAACTAGGAGTTAGTGACTTCAAGCGTTGATGCCATGTTTTGGTTTGGCCTCCCCTAACCTTCTTCCAACCATGCCCAACACTAGTCAGCATTGCGCGTCGTGGTAATCGGTGTTCGGGCATACGTAACACGTGGCCCAACCATCTCAGTCGATGAAGATTAACAACCTCATCAACTGATTTACCATCATTACCTAATACCCTGCGTCTAACCTCACTATTACTTACCCGGTGGTCCCAGCAGATTTGAGCAATATTTCTAAGTGGTCTGTGGTCAAATACTAATAACTTACGAGTATCTTCTACTCTTAAAGGCCATGTTTCGCTGCCGTAAATTAAAACAGAACGGACTGCCGCGCAATATACTCGTCCTTTTATTGATAGACGGAAATCTCGCCCTCGCCATAGGTGACGTAAGTTGGCAGAAGCCAAACGAGCTTTTCGAATCCGTGCTGAGATTTCGTCCGATACCAGCCCATTAGGGCTGATCAGACGTCCAAGATAAGTGAAGTTGTCGACGCGTTCGACCACTTCACTCCCTATCCTTAGTTCAGGTGTTGACGCAGATCAGTCCTGAAGCAACAACTTGCATTTAAAGGGAGAGAAGCGCATTCCAAACATCCTGGCATTGTTGCTCAGTGCTACCAGAAGACTGCATTTTGTCAGCGTCTTCACCAAACAGGACTATATCATCTGCATATTCTAAATCGATAAGTGGACCTCCTGGAAGGAGATCAATACCTGAGAATTCAGTCGACGATAATGTTATTTCCATCAGTAGGTCTATGATGAAGTTAAACAGAAATGGAGAAAGTGGACAGCCTTGACGGACACCACTTGAGGTTGCAAAACTAGATGACAGTTCGCCATAAGCTCTGACTCGACTAGTGGTGTTCGAGTAAAGAGCCTTTACAAGGTTTATGTACTTCTGGGGTACGCCTTTCAATGACAGACACTGCCACAGAATCTCGCGGTCTACCGAGTCAAATGCTGCTTTTAAGTCAAGAAAGACCACCATCGTCGGACGCCGATAAGTATGCCTGTGTTCTAGAACCTGACGAATGGTGAATATGTGATCGATGCAGCCACGACCAGGTCTGAAGCCAACCCGATTTTCTCGTGTTTGAAGTTCACGAGTCTTTGTTAAGCGTCCGATAATTATCGAGGCTAGTATTTTAAATGCTATATTAGTCAAACTAACCCCTCTATGGTTGTCACAGGATGATTTTAACCGTCTCTTATATATTGGGACGATGTGATTATGACCAGTCAGATGGAATAACGTCCAACCAGATTTTAGCTAAAATATTAGTCAACCTAATTGCTAAAATTGGACCACCATCCTTAAAAACCTCTGGAGCCACTCCATCTGGACCAACTGCCCTTCCTCGTTTCAGATTAGCTATAGCCTTCTGAACTTCAGCTAGAGTCGAGGGACTTACTTCAATGTTCCATTCACGCTGTGTCGCATTGTGTACATTTCCATTAATGAAGTAACCTAAATTTTAAGAAGTGCCAGACCGTTATAAATGCCAGGTTACTGGAAGTATATAATGGTGACTTGAAGATTTTAGTTCATGAGTTTGTTCTACTTGTTTTATCGCTTTCTCAACGGTCATATTTATGTGGTATGTCCTGTTCATATATTAGAAAAAGTTTAATATCTGTCCAATGTCTTTATCCGCAAAATAGGAGTATATTATATTAAACGGCAATGGAAATAATCATTTGAGCGTAGAATAACTCTGTCTTGTTGAAGATTACTTCATAATGTCTGCACTTCTCACCTGTTTCCCATAGAGTTGGTGTGCTTGCCAGTTATGGTAACTCCGTAAAAGGCACCCCATATGCTACAGACTTTTGTTTCTTCGTCCACCAACAGTCATTTACATTAATGATCAATGTTAATAATCCACAATCTTACCGATTCCCAGCCTGGCTCTTCAAAATACGTACATGTCAGTATCGTAAGTCGTTAAATAAGTGTTACTGGCAATACCGGCTTTTCTTATCAGTTGTATGAAAATGCTGAATATAGTTATTTCTATTGAAGGAGTCGCTTTCTATATAAACACTCGTTTATGGGACCAGATCCCCACATATCTAATCATATTTGCAAACCCGTTTGATACCTACTGACTACGCCTTTGTTCCATCAATTTCTTTTCTCCAAATAAAACGTTTGTAAAAATCGTGTATGTAGGTGAAGAAAATAAAATGTATGTACAAGATTCTGAAATAATTAAACACTTACACTATGTACCATGAGGTATTTTTGGAAAATGGTAAATATTTTCTAACTACTCGTTGATAATCAATTGAGAGGAACTCTGGACAATTTTCGGGTTTATCCTCAACTTGCGACTTGTTTGTTTTCAATTATACTCTGACTTTCGTATTTTGTCGTTATTCACAAAATTCTAGGCGGTTGGTAAAAGTCATTTAAAGCCCTAGCTATTCATTTTGAACCTTTTACGCTCATCTGGAAGACTGTTCTTGAACCCTTAAGTAATCGTGCTATCTACCCATTATATGTAGATCTGTTGTCTTTTTAACTAGCGAGTCAGGTGGCTTTAAAATGAAGAATATGTCGTCTAGCAGTATTCACTATTTTCGGATAATCTTTGAAGTATTAAGTCAGTAATACTGTTATATAACACCTACTTTATTTTATTTTAGATTCTAACGGTCCTGTCTTATACGATACAAAATGTTTTTAAAACCATTCTCCGTGAGATCTAATTCTCAAATTAAGTCTTGTGAAAAGTCAGAGCTTTATTTATTTCTGTACTTAATTTTTATTTATAGGAAGCAACTTCTAAACTCATTCTATGATCAGTATGAATTAGATCCTACAAATATTTTGGAAATCTTTAAAACAAAAGATGTTCACCGTTTAAAAGTTATAACTTCTTCAGAAATAAAAGTGAATATCTACAAATTTGGAAATATTCCTTTAATTATTGAAAATGAAAAAGAATGCCTCCCCACAGGTAGTTTTTCATCTATAGTTCATATTAGATAAGTTTACCTTCTATGGCATCTGCCGAGCCTCCTCCCACACTTCAAAGTACATGAGAACTTAGTTCCCGTTCTAATGAAAGGGGCTGGTAAATACAGCTTTTTTAGATTGAAACATTTTATAGACCTTATGCTTCCGGGAGTAGTAACTGATGGTCCGATTCTCCCTTATACATTTAATAAGATAGAGAAGGGTGTTCTTTGTTGTATCAGCACAACTTCCAACCGGTAATTTTATATATTTTATGTTTGATGTAATATAGCGCACCAATAGCTATCGGGCACACAGCTATGTCAAACTACGATATGTACATGAGTGCCGGTAAGGGGAAAGCTGTATCCGTGTTTCATGTTATAGGCGATCATGTGTGGTACGTTTCAAAGTTTGTGTTTTCAATTTCTTATGAATATGTTGTACATTTTGTTTTGCCATTGTGTTACACAGTTCAACAAAATCAACGGATATCCTCTATCCCGTGCTTTCAGCGGGCTATTTTTGAAGTTCTCAACTGTTGCGTAAGTTCCAATTCCTGATGGTCCATACCATTCCTCAAAATTTTTCAATGCCGATTGTTAATCGATTTCAAAATTTCCAGATCTACTTCCAAAGCACCTTGACAACTGCCTTCAAGTGTAATACCATATTGAACCACTCAGATAATTGTCTATTATACAAACATGTTAAGTAAAGTAAGGTGGTCATTTGATGGTTTAGCAATGTGTAGAGAAGAATACGTTTACTTTACTGGTGTTTCTCGATTCGTCATGTTTCGATGAAAGTCATCATTTTAATGGCACAAGACATCAGATATCATTAAGAACAGAAGTTCAGTGTTGACGTTATGGTCGTCCATTTTATTTCTATGGAACGTTCGAATGCACCTTCTAACTAAGAAAAAATATACTGCGGTTATGTGCTTACTTACTGTCGTTTATTTGTATTACTTGATATTCTCTCTCCGTTTTTTGTTGTAATATTAGTTCGTTTCGTGCAGGAGTTTTTCTGGTGCCCTATGGTACCAAACTTTGTTTGTTCTACGATTAAAAATAAATTAAAACTGACGCGTTCCACGTGGACAATATTTACAGCTAATTATATTTACAAACGTGTAGTTTTGTATCCCCTGAGTCCTATTTCTGTATCATCTTATTCTAACAAATTATCCAATAACAACTTGGATCAATCACAACTTATTCAACTAGCCTATAGCGCTTTTGCAAAACACATTACGATGAAGCGCTCCACATTTGTAACATAGCAGTATGTCCCCATATTTTCCTGAGTAGTTTCAGAAGATCGTTGACCAATGTTACCACGCTTCATTCCCATAGTTTTATTTGTTTTCCCTGAATAAACTTTTTCTATTCGTTATTCTTGATTGAGTTTGATTTATAGATCTGTTGTGTGCTATTTTCTATTTGTACACGTTTAGTTCCCTGGTGTCATCATTTAACCGTCCCATTCTCCCGTGGCCTATTATCGATGAGAGTTCTCCTAAAACAAATGAAGAAATAGACAATGTCGATGATGGGTCGAAGTCCCCAGTAAATATATTGTCTCAACAAATATCGGACGATAAAAATATCAGCGAAGAATTGAATGATCTTTATTTCAAAGAAGCAGTTGGTTAGTTACAGTATTCATTTGCTAGGTGATCAGTATATTCATTTATTTTATTGCTATTATAATTACTTAATACTCTTCTATATTTTAACAGTGAAAAACAATGATGTAGAAAATGTTAAACAGTCATCCTCTTGCATAGAAAATTGCTTATAACCAGAAATCCGAAGCTTTGTAGTATTTATCTTATTGGTGGATTCGTTTGACAACTGATTTTCTAACATTGTTTGTTTCACAAACGTCAGTCAGCCATCATTATCCCACTCCAAAGAACAGTGAGAGGAGAAAAAAACGAAAGTGGAGTTAATGTGAACAAATGCAACAAATCACTAAACTACACAAGCTGGTGGATACGAAGGATTCACCTACGACAACTGGAAAACCCTAATTCCAAACCAATAGTGCACATGGGCTCCATAATCCTGGGGGAACAAATGGCTAGCGTGAGACTGTATCTCCTAGCGTTCCTCCACTGTCTTGTAGATTGGACCTCTGGCTAGAAGGTCCTGGGACTAACCACATAAGAAAACCAACTGCTTCGGTTTGAGTGCACGGGCAGTATTTTAGCCAACAAATAAACTAAATGATGAGTGCAACTCGAAAAATTATTCATGCTCTGATTCTCATTCTCTCCAATCATACTCAAAACTATTCGATAACATTCTTTTTTATTATAGATTGCGTTACTTGTCTATTCCTTTATGATTCAACTCATACAGCAGTTCACCTATGGTGGAAATCTTGTCCTATCTAAACGATCTCAAGTCACTGACTGGTCGAAAGTTGAATGCTACCACTGACATTAGAGGTAATTGTCATCTCATTAGATTTGTGTGAGGGTTGTGATAATGCCCAGATGCCCAAACCGAAGCAGGTGGTTTTCTTGGGGGGCCACACCCGGAGCCTTTGACCTAAAGGTCTGATCCACAAGGCAGTGGAGTAACGTAAGGAGATACAGTCCCTTGATAGCTGATGACCAACGATTGGTTCATACGCCATTTGTTCCCTTAAGATACTAGAGCCCATATGCACCATTAGTTTGGAATCAGGGTTTCCCAACTCCCCTAGGTGGACTCTCCGTGTCCACCGACCCGGATAAGGCGCCGGATTTTCGCCTTTACTCCTCTCAATTTCGTAAACAACACCCCCGCCACGAGAAGGCAGTGAGTATGACTTCCCTGGCAGAAGCTATATACGCGTAGCCATGTGAGAGCATTTCGAGGACAATGGTCACCCCCCCACCTTCGGCCGTACCAGGGCATTCGGGAGCCCAATATGTGTCGCACATGTATCTGGTGCCCCCTTGTACCAATATTTATGTGTTCAAATAAAATAAAATAAAAATAAGAGCTACCACCGACTAAGAATACTGAAGTAGTCTTTCTGAAACCACGTATGCCATTCAAACTCGCTTCTTTCAACGTCCTCACACTAATGCAGATCGGACAACAAATAGGGTTAGCTGTGTCTGTGGAAAATCTCAACATCGATGTCTATTGTCTATCTCAGATCCATTTTCAAGACTCTAGTGAAATATTACAAATTCGTTCACCATCTGCCGCTTCTCAAACGATATTTCGTGTCTGTTCATCCGTGGACACTGTGAGATTGTCTGGTTTTGATGGCGTTAATGTCGCATTAAGCGCCAGAGCTTACGCAACATTAATCGGCTGGAGGCAGCTTAAACGTAGGCTGATCAAAAACTTACACAAGAATCGTGAGCAGTGGTGGATAGCGAAAGCAGAAAAGATGAAAAAGGCAGCAACGATGGCTAACAGTAGACAACTGTTCAGAATTATCAAGGAAATGGGTATTAAAAATCCGGCTGTTAGTGTAACTAGATCGGATAACGCCTACCAACAAAGGCCGAGTTCTTCATATGGGTAAAGTGCGGTCAAACGGATGGTCACACTGTGATCCTATCTGTACGGTTTCGGAGATGTAATATACGTAAATGACCGGAGAGGCTTGTTGTTTTATTCAATATAAAGTACGAACATTGATAGCTCCAGAATGTAGTTCAGAGCACAATTCGAGACCATTTCGTAAAATCGAGTTGTCAGCATTGATGATTAAGTCATAATAATAAGTGATGAATGAATTTGATCGTGAACAAAAGGGTCTTGAGTACTGTTGGTATGTGGACAATTGTCTCTCCTCGGTTGACTGCACTGTGATGAGGGATTTCCTGAGTTATCTGTAAAGAAAACCGGAATAATAGTAGTGTTTGCGAATTGGGAACGTGATCCCAATGCCTAAAGGAGAACTGCTCGAGGTTGGTTGCATACGGTTTTTAGTGATAGTTTTAGATGTGCTAAATCCGTACGTACAAGCCTTAGCGCGGGCGACAAAAATCCACAACATCAAGTGTGCTATTTTTAGTGCGGGGCTTTTGTATTCTCTTTCCGTTTTAAGGCAGCAGTTTGTTGTAAAACGTCGACCAACGAGCGTCATTTGTGGCGTAGGCGAGATATCCGTCTACCAACCAAAGACTGAGTTTGCTGTGCGGCAGCTCTCTCCGTTCAACTTCATGAACGTGAAACATGGCCATTAGGAATAGGGATGGGTGGTCGATTGATGAGGTAATAAATATTCACCAACTGATATGGTTGGGAAATGTAATACGTATGATAGTAATGCAGAAGTTCGGCAATGTGAGTTAGGACACAGCGAAGATAATTCGGTCGGAGTCACCATCTTGAAACACCGACTTTGGTGGTTTGGACATTTCTTACTAATGTCGTCTCAACGAATTTCGCATTGTGCATCATTTGCCGACTCTGGGACTGGTTAGAAAAAGCGGTGAGGTCAGTGCATGACATGGTGTCGTGCTATAAAAGAAGGCTGTACAAGGCAGGCTTCTGTCAGTCCTTGTCGACTCCGTGGTTGTGGTCCTAGAGATGGTGCAAAACAATGGCTTGAGACGTTGTCAGAAGTGGTTCAGAATAGAAACCTGTAGTGATCCTGCTGCAACGTTCTTTTACTTCATGAAAATGAGAGTAACTTCTTTGACTGAAAGAGTTCTTTTTGATTGTATTTTTCCTAACTGAACTGCTTCTCCCATCATTATTATTTCAGTTTTACACATTAATTTCTGTTCATTGTTGTTCTTCCTTTTTACTATATTCGTTTCCCTTCCTCTATTTTTTCACAACCTCATTTTAATAGTGCCTCCCTGCACCAATATTTATATTTTCAAATAAATAAATAATACACTAGCTGTCTAACTTTGCAATCGTCTCAGTAAAAAAAGGAAAGGATTTAACTGTCTCACAGTTGATACATTGATTTTTCAAGTTCACTGATTGGTTTAATAATTTCGTATATGCATATAAATATTACTGTATATTAGAGTAAAGCCTGATGAGAATCTAATTGAAAACAATATTGTTCGCTTATATATGTTGTTCTAAATTTACAATATGGAAATATTTGAAATTTTAACATTCAGTCGACTGAATAAATGTGTATTCAGTCAGTGATTTAATTTATAAAATTAATACTACCAAAATTTGAAATAATTCGTAATAAAGACAGTCACTTTACTCTGCTTAATTTTAAGGATTATTGTATATGATCTCTGACCATTGATTTCACTTTTCTTGCTTGTCCCAACGCCAAAGCCCACTGGTCAATAATAATCGACTCTCCACATATTTTGGCTTAACAGACTGAACTTGTCTTCCTATATGCCTGTTTGCTTCGACATCATAAGTTGAGGTTGTTGTTGATTAGTCATGTGCAGCATTAACTATCTTAACAGTTGCAAATTCACAAAACGATACATCGAATTACCCTTTGTAGCTTTTATCCTCCATCTAAGTGTGACATTTGTACTTTTTTAGTTTTATTAATCATTGCCTGGCTATTCAGATGATTATTAGCCTTCAATTTCTATCTTCAACTTTCTTTTACCACAGCGAAAATGAGCTAATTCCATTCATGTCTACATTTTTATGCATTCCTGTTTTCTTTTTACAGAGTTACAACCATCACTTGATCTTGATAAAATTCTACGGGAGTGTTTTTTGAAAGGTCTTAAGTTGATCAAAGCAAATCAACTTCCAATACCAGTGAATATTTTCTATTCTCAATACGTTCTGGTGCATAAGTAAGTTCCTCTTTTGTTAATAATAATATATTGGTGATTTCTTTTCAAAAAGTAATGGATGCTTACTATTGTGATGATTGTTTATTTGCTGTAGAGATCTAAAGGGTATTTTCAGTGTAATTAGGTTAGAATTACAATTTTCTACCTGTATGTAACCCAGCTCACCTTTAAGCTATATTTTTTAATGATGACCAGTAGCACTACTTGATTGCTCGAAACGATATAAGTGGAGCACAATGTATGCAAATCAGAGCTATACACATAGATTCAAATTTTATGTGCAAATACCGTTTAAATCAAAGTATTTGGCCTTAAGGTAGTAGGTAAGTTGCAAGTCTGTATCAAATGAACTAACATTAGAAGGAATGAAATATTGAACTGATGTTACATCGTCTCTCAACATTCAGTTGTTGCATACATTCGTTATTTTTCTTGAAGTAGAACTCAATAACATTGACTCACTCGGTGTTTAACACTGTCCTACACTGATATATGTTATTTCTATGATCAGTATTCACAATACCTATCGAAAGGGATTGACTGTCTAGTACTTCACAAAAGTTAAAAAGTTTTGTTTCTGATCTTTTAATTAAGCATTGATACATAATACCGATAAATGTTAGACTAGGAAACTCCTTATTTGTCAGCTTTCTGATAACATCATGTAATAAAAATACATTTTAGTAAATATGCATTATAAACCAAAACTGTACAATTTTCAGTATTTTCTTCCCTTTAATCAAACAACCTATTCTACTCATAGTTGATTAAATTCCTTTTTAATTATGAGAATAATGGTGTAAGTTTCCATAGTTTATTATTCATTTATTATCATTACAGATCTCCATCAGTGGATCTAGATATCAGGAAAACAAAATTTAAAAAGGTGAATCATTGTTTGTGTTACAGCTTAACAATTCATTAAAGTTATAGTAACCATATGTTAAATTTATGAAATATCTTTAATAAACATATCTTTTAATAAGAATGATATGAACAGTAATTCTTTTTCATGAACCGAAAATTAAATATTCGAAAATTCTGTATTATTTCCGGAGTTACATGTCTTGTAAGAGCTGATTTTATACCACTGCTGTTATTACTGCTACATTGTTTCCATTGAGCAGCGTCCAAATCTACCACTACTTATTGGCAACTACTTAAATGGTGCAAAAGATAGGAGAAAATACTGAATAGGAATAGTAAAATGAAGTGAACTTCCGTTATTTATGTTCACATGTCCACAGTTATCACAATTGATTAAACTTTCTAAGTAATTAAAGTACTTGATACTCTCAACCACTGCCCCCTCCTTGGCCAGATTAGACATCCATAAAAACCTGTCATAATAAATCTAGCATTTAATAGTACCAAAAGCAATAGTTTTAACTATCCCTCAGGACATTCAAAAGACTTTATTTAATACCATCTTCATTAAACAGAACTGTGTCGCATATGTACTTCAGTTCGTTACACAGATTTCTGAGTAATTGGAAAGTCAAATAAAAATAGTAGTATCTACAGGTGCATATTCAGGACTAAGTTAAAAATAATGAAAGAAAGAGTATAGAGAGTGTTCTACTTATATGCTTATTCATTCAAAAGCACTCTCATAAGTAGGTTATTTTTAATGTAACTAAAATATTCACTTTGCGATTGTAACCGGAGTATAATCAAGTGAATTGTAGAATTTTTTCAGTAGATACAATACACGACTTAAAATCGTTTCGTAATGGGTATCTATTCACTTCGAAATCTTAAACGTCCTGTTGCAGAACGTTTTAACTATTATATTTATCATTCTTTTACTAATCCACAGTTCAACAACATTTATTATTGGATGTTCCACTATTTCATCTACCTGTAAACTTCTAGTAGGGATAAGAATATAACCGACTATTCATCTTCTAATTAGGATGAATCTACTTCATTTTCTGTTTTGTTAATCTAGGTTGGCCTATTTTTAAGAGCTATGCAAGATGAAGGTTTCGTTGAGGTGACTGAACCGAAGTCTGGTGTATTGATGTTAAATCATATTAATAAAGATCATATTGAGTAAGCGTGGACAATTTTTAGTGTTTCTTCAGTCGATATGTTTTTTTTGACAAAGTGGATTATTGAATCAGTTTTTGCAAGGTCACTTCAGATTTATGTTATGAAATGCTGAATAATATGTTACGTTTGGCTTTCAATCAGAACTTCGCACTTTCAAACACAGCTCTACCTACTTCGATTTAGGCTGTTGGGTGATATCACTATCTCATGCACAAAACATGCGATCTAAAACCAAATATATAAACATGTATCTCGGTAAATACATTACACTAAAACATTGTATTTTTATTTTACTTTTGAACTATTCGTCTTTTTAGGAAAACACTAAACATTGATAACGGATTGTATTAAATGTATATGGGTGTGATTTTTAGTTGGATTTTCACCCTTTAATTTCACATTATTGAAATTCCGTTCCTAGGGGAAACAACGCTGGTCCTTACACAGTATGTGTCAGTTCAAATTTAGTACACAAGTATTGTATTTTAGTTCTAAGTTCCATTTCCTTTATTTTCTGTATCGGACTTCAAACTTTCATTTGATGTCTTCGAAACAGTATCATGCTAACTTCCTTTAAACCAAATAATATAATGTTCCGCACTGAGCTGCATCTTTTGTGGAATGACTAGTATTTTTGTGAACGAGGACGCAAGTGGGGACAATCGGTTTACTGTTTAGCACAAAGTTACAGAATATTTTGGTAAAATGTGAGAACCATACACTGAATACTTCATTTGCGAATTTCCATAATTTTTTCACGTTCTGTATGATTCTTTCAGTCCACAATTCCTTTCTATTCTTTTCAACTCAATCTTCTTAGCCTTCTGTTGCCAGGTTTTCCACTTCCGATTGGTGTTACATACTACTTACTTCTGTCATAAGTAGCTTACACAACAGTATTACTGTCCAAAAAGTAGATTGGGCGCTGTTCAAACTTGTTACTCAGTAGTTTAAAAGTGATCACCTAAACTACCAGGACTTCGAAATACTTTAGTTTAGTTTATATTACTTGATATCATTAGCTAACAAACGATTGCCATGTATATACTGAGTGATATCACTTATTTCTTTTCCTTTTTATGTATGTGTTTATTCGCATTTGATAAATTTGAAACCTAGTTCTAGTCCCATAATTAGTCTTTTTATGATTTAAAGAGCTTGAACCAACTAATGCTCTTTCCTTGCATTCTGCTGAACGTAGTACGTAAAATCCAGAATCAGTGCTAAGGGAACATGATGAGCTGAAGTGAATATATGTAGGTATATATCCCAGAAGACTAAAGTGTTTCTGTCACTAATTTATGATTTAAGATAATTTATTATGTGGAGACTTTCATGTTATCGATTAGCTTACGCTATGTAATTCATCACAAAAGTTTGATCATCTTTTTTAAAATTCCATAATCTACACTCATCTAGATTACGAGGAGTAACCGTTCCTGCTTCAATAATAGATCCTAAAGTTGAGTGTCATTGGCCAGATGACTATATGGGCCCTCCCCAAATTGAAGATATTCGAATAATTAAAGGACCTGTTACAGCTTTATTTTCACAGTTTGGTTATAAGTAAGTTTATCTTTTGTTTCATTAAAATTATGAACCGATATAATTTAGACCATCATTGAAAACCTGGAAGCACTAGGCGGCCTTTTTGTCTTGCTACGGGATTCGGCAGTGCGCATCCATGATTCTGCACGCGGAAGTCGAACCCAGAACTTTCTGTCTCGCGTCCAAACACTTGATATCTAAATCACTAAGCTGGTTACCAATAGTATTAATGTCTAACCTCGATCAATCCACGAAATTGCGCGACCATCTTTCATTGTCTGTGGTGGGTAACTGCCTCACCCCTTGCTCTACTGGTTGCGGCTTCTCACTAGAACCCCGGAAATTTCCTCTTGAAGTTAGTTACTAGTGAGCATATGATAATTTCCAGTATCGGGTTGCGGAGCTCGTTGAATTTCATTGAAATCATCGAAAACCTGGAAGCACTGGATATATATCTTATTATCTATTCTATACATTTTCTAGAAATGTAACTGCGAAAATATGTCCTTAATTAAATAAAAGTAAGTATATAGAATTTCATGTTGTTAGATAATGGTTTGAATCCCAACCAAGAATAATACGTGCGCATTTTTCTGTGTACTCAGCCTTTAACCAAAAATTATGACGTAATTGTTCAATAGTATTTACTAAAATTCCTGGAAGTAAATAAATCGAGCTAGATTTATGTAAAAATACTCCATCCCTGTAATGATAAGTGCCTACATAATGAATGTCACTTTTTTGCAATCTGTTATTTTTTATGATTTGGGTTAGTGGTTCCAGTTATTGAACTTTTAACCAATTACACCACCGGTCGATATGTCGTTTCGTATACTTTGATTGATATGACCATCTAACATTGTTTGTCTTCACACAAAAAGGTTTGGTTTAGAGTCCTGTACATCAGTTTGGATTTCACCATTTTAAATTAGAATTGTTGGAATTACAGAAAGATATGTTTGCCTTAGAAAATTTTTGTGCTACTGATGAATCCAAATGCAGATGGAATAATTATGGATACTTTTCTAATCCAAATTTACGCTTTTAATTTTTGTGAAATTAAAGTTTACACAAGTAATATTCTCACTAGTTAGTTACAACTTAAAACGTGTAGAAATAGGGACGTGAAATGGAAGCTTAGTAAAGTTAAATGGAAGTTAGTTTTGTTTGTTGTAAGTTATTCTTAATGATAAAGTATGGTATAAAAAAACACGTTCTGCCAGAGAAGCATGGGTTTTAAAAAATCATATCTCAAAAATATACATATGCGCTACACATATCATTCGATTTGTGTGAAAGCTTTGATACTGCCCGGATGCCTAGACCGAATCAAGTGGGCCACTTCCCGAGCTCTTGACCTAAAGGCCTAATTCACAAAGCAGTGGAGCTACGTTAGTAGATGCAGTCCCATGGTAGCCGGTGACCAACGATTGGTTCATACGCCATTTGTTCCCCTCAGGATATTGGAGCCCGTGTGCACCATTGGTTTGGAATCAGGGTTTTCCAACTCCCCTAGGTGGACCCTTCGTGTTCAGTTAAGGCGCCGGATTTTCGCCTTTACTCCTCTCAATTTCGTAAACAACACCCCCGCCACGAGAAGGCAGTGAGTATGACTTCCCTGGCAGAAGCTATATACGCGTAGCCATGTGAGAGCATTTCGGGGAGAGTGGTCTCTTCCCACCCTCGGTCGTACCAAAGCATTTGAAGGCTACTTAATGAAAATAATTGATGGCTACCTTAAAGTTTAATTGTTAATTTCAGTTGTATCAACCGAAACCTACAAACGCGTGCACAGCGAACTTATACCTATTTCATTTGAAATTTAAAAACCAAAATGACTAAGCAAAAATGGATGGTGGCTAACAGTAGAATCCGGGACGTGCGTTTCTTCCTACTTGAGACTCGTCAACTGGATGTACCTGCATCCCAGAGTTGATGCTCACTCTGGGATTTGAACCCAGTATCGTTCGCCCCAAACGCCATCGCATTATCCACTTATCTACCAGCTTGTGCAATGGGGCGTAATTTTAATTCATTTCGTATTATTTGTTTGAATCTTCTCAATAATGTTTAGGACCGCAATTGATCAGTCTTATTGGAATATGTATTCGAGTCACGGGCTGAACATCAACTATGGGATGCAATCACGTCCATCTGATGAGTCCCAAGTAAGACGAAATGCGCGTCCTAGATTACACTGCTAGTCACTATCCATCTGTGCTTATAATGTTTGTGACTGAAGGCAATATCGAGGCATCTCGCACAGGATACACATATGCTAATTGCAGTCCTAAACATCAATGGGAAGATTCAAACAAATAATACAAAATGAATCCAAATAACTAAGCACGTTTATAAGGACATTAAAAATGTACGACATTATTCATAGAAATTCAATTACAGTGATAAAATAACAACCTTCAGCTGCATATATTCTATCCTTTCCACCCAGAAATTTACCGAATATACATAAGAATTGAGAACAGTTTAGACGAGTTATGACATTTATTCATCTGATGACAATTCGACACACAGTATCCAGAAAATTAACTAGAATAGAGTTTTTTAACATGCTGCTATACACGTTAATGTTTTGGAAATACGCTTACGTAAATTACCTCCATCACCGAAAAACCATCGATAAACAATGAAGTCTCGGATTAAAGCCATGAAAAACTATTCTCACAAAGTCTTTGAGGAATTTAATATTGAATTTTGAATCAAGTTTTATAATTTCCTTCAAGAGGTCCAGACAAAAGTGTTCAGAAACCATAAGAAGACTTTGTCAAATCTCAACTATTTGAAGGTATTCCTGAAAATTATGGGATGTTTGTGTGCAGCTTATTAAGTCTTAACTTGCGTCGAGTTGAGATGGAACCAGTTTCATTTGGATTGAAATTTGTATAATCAGTTATGTAAACTAAAACCAATAGATGAAGAAAATCAAAGTTGGCTGAAATCTGGTTTTGTTGATATTGCCCGCTAATACAAGAAATCTCAGATTACACAGTGAAAAGTCTTTTCTAAAGATCACTAAAAAGCTTTACGGTAAAAATACTACTAACCAACACGCTGCTTTAGTCCCAAACGGTGACTAATATTCAACGATTAAGGATTTCATTGTGGGAATCTGTGTAAATAAGTCACTAAATATTAAATAGGTTTACGTTATAATCCTAAGTAAGTTCTAAATTAAACAGTTTCAACTTGATCTATCTCCCTAAACTTATCAACCATTTTTTCTGTTCCCTAGATCAGGTGAATGTATTAGCCAATCAGAAGCTAGACGAACTATTGATAACTATGTTCGAAACAATAAGCTTCAGTTGACTACAGATCCGAGGTAAAAATGCAGGATATGTTTTAGTGCTTATTTGCTGAATAAATATGTTTTTCTCTATTATTAACTCTTTTGAGCTAGTTCATAAGCAAAATAATTTTATTAATTTCTCAGTCGATTTCATTACTTAATGATTATGTCAATTATCACAGCATTCACCTCCTTGGTTATCTTATCATAAAGTTGAATATTTCCCAATAGAACATTTCTATAATGTTCAACCATTGTATGCTGGTAGAGTATATTTGTATACTGTTTTATTTCTTATCGTTTTATCTTATTTTACGAATATATCAGTTGTGATTTAAGCAAAAATAAATGACTCATGATATAAATGCTACTATGACAGAAGTTGCATCTGGCTGTTCATTTAGTCTTTAACCTCACCTCAATGACATTTTAACCATTATTTTTACTGCCAACTTGGAATGAAGGAAAATTTCCTCTTCAACTGACAATAACTATAGAAACAACATTTGGTTACTGAGATGAATATTCACTCTCGGGCCTTTGATCGTGAAACTGATTATCATTACAGGTATATAAATAATGAATATTTGATCGTGCATGATTCCAAAAAAGGTACATCCATCATTTTCTCTTTTAAATTGTTTTTATTATCACTAACTTTAAATTGACTTAGCTGTACACAACTTGAAGATTATTTATTTTTCTTAAAGATTAGTTCATTTAGACAAATTATTAACGAGCATATGTGAGCCGAAAACGTTTATTGAATCCCCTGAAAGTACCATAACAAATCCAATTTTTCACATTCGTTTTGGTGATCTTATTTCTCAAGCTTTAAAAAACTTAACTACTGCTTATCGTATAATTTATCCGAATATGTCCACCCCTGTCATCTGGAATAAAAAAGAGCCACCTCATATACATTTGTATACTGTTACGAAAGCTGGAAAGAAATTGGTAAGTTACCGTTTGTTTTAAAAGCAGTGATAGCGATCAACATTTTCTTTATATATCACAAAAGTTTTTCTCGAGCACAACTGATTACCAAAACTAACCTGTTCTTCCTCAAAGAACAATCTGAAGAATGACCTTTATCGTTGTTAGGACTGTCAACTAACTTTAAGTTCAAAACCTCTTAATTAAAGGAGGAACGAATTGAGCGAAGAAAATTCTTTCCAATTAGTTCTTCATCATGGCTCTACAATAATGATATAGTACTCATCGAGTGGATACGTTACATAATAATTATATAATGACATTTAAATTAACATTGAGTAATTGGAAGAAAGAGGATTATTAATATTCAAAGTAATCAAGGAAGTTGTTACGTTGCGTAATATAAGAAACAAAGAAGGAACAGAATTTGAACGGATGGTCAATAGGATAGTAGTTACGTAAAAATCAAGAGATGAATGTTGAGAAGTTATAAGGTTCAAAAGCAATAGAAACAAAATTACGAAAATTTAAAAAAAAGAAGTGGAAGAAGTATGAAAAATAGTTCTTATGACGGAAATTTTATACTGAAGGCCAGGGCAGAGAAAGTGGTTGTACGAATTTCCTTTAGATGCTAAGGTCAAGTTTGTAAACATGAATTGCTATGGCTTCCGCAATGTGCAAAAGGCTCACTCGTAAACCATGTGGTAGATTTGATGGGATATGGTAGATAACCTTAAAAGCTTTATTCAATTCGACTTGATGACCTGTGTCAACCAAGTGAGAGAGAATAGAACTTTTAATCACTTTCACCCGTCCTTTGCTTAGCCATGTCGGATGATGTTCTGTAATGCGGTGACGGACCTGCCGAATTGTACGCCCTATATAACTGGCTCCACAGGAGCAGTTGAAACGATAGATACACATAGATTTGGCGAATTCAGGCAGTCTGTCTGTAATGGATGTTCTTATTTTCGGGTGGTTGTAGAAGATGACATTTAATTTGGCAGCATTAAACGTTTTTTGTACAGCTCTTCGTAGTTTCTGAGTTATGACTTCTTCAATGGTGTCATTTATGAATTGTAGTTTTATGAATAATACCTTCTTGGGGACGGTGGGTATTTTTGTCCTTGTTTTCTTCTCCGTCATATGTTTGTCGATGAATTTCATGGTTTACCCATTCAGACTGAGTAGGTTACGAATATTGTTCAATTTTTCTTCAATGGTGTCTTCACAGCAGATCATTCTAGCACGATGTGTCAAGATTTTTATCAAGTTCCTTTTGTATCTGATTCGAACTGCACTGTGGAAATGAGTGTATTGACCTGCTGTTGATTTTCTGTGTACCCTTCTTTTTATAGCTCCGTCTGTTCTTCTAGTTAGTTGGACGTCTATAAAAGATATGCTATTATTCTGTTCATCTGATGTAAAGTTAATTGATGGATGAACGTTATTAAATATATTACGTAAATTGTCTTTATCATTTTCTTTTTCTAATACTATGAAGGTATCGTCTATATAGCGATAATAAGTTGGTAAATGGGTAATTGTACTTTTAAGTGGTCCATTTTCCAGTTTTGCAAGGAAAATATTAGCCAGTAGAGGGCCCAATGGTGATCCCATGGCGACTCCATCTAGTTGTCTATAGTATTCATTGTCAAGTCTGAATTGGACGTTCATAGTGCATCTAAGAATTAACTGTTTTATCGCAGATGCGGGAATCGGGGTTTCTATGCGTCTCGCCGTTAGTTCATTGCAAATAAAATCAACCGTTTCGAGTAGTGGAATATTAGTGAATAATGATGATACGTCAAGTGATATCATGAAGTTATTCTTGACTGATAGATTTTTTATGTTCTCAACAAATTCAAAGGAATCTTTGACACTATGTCTGACAATTTCTTTATGTAATGGTTTAAGAATTTGCACCAACCATTTTGCTAAATTATGATACGCTGAGTTATTCATATCTAATACTGGTCGAAGGGGCAAGCCACTTTTGTGTGTTTTTGGTAGGCCAAATAGTCTTGGTGTAATTGTTCCTGTAGGTTCCAACATTTCGAACACATTTTCTGAAATAAAACCTTGTTTTTCTTTCAGTGAATCAGTTAGTTGTTTTTCAATCTTGTCTGCTATGTCGTTTTTCACAGCCAGTTTCTGAAATTTGCTTTTATCATTTAGAAGGGCATTCATTTTGTTCATGTAGTCATTTTTATCCATGAGTACTATCCCATGTCCTTTGTCACGTTTCGTGATTAATAAATTGTCATTAGTTTTAAGTTTTCTTAGAGCCTCTGTATATTTTTTTCGTCAAAATCCCTTTCGTGTTATGTCTATGATTTACGTATTTAAAACAACAGTCGACTAGTGTTGATTTAAATATTTCGACATTATCTTTTGATGAAGTTACTAGTTCTGACGTTTGAGCATAAAGATTTTCGAATTGAATTTCAACGTCCATTTTATTGACTGTTTTCTTAAAGTCACAAAACTTAGGGCCTAGTGATATTTATATATTTATTTGAACGCATAAATATTGGTACAGGAGAGCGCCAATATATATGCGCCACACAAAACAATGAGAATTCGAAGAGAGTAAAAGGTAAGGAGCGTAAATAAAAGAGAACAATAACGAAGAGATTGATATAAGGTAGTGTAATAATAATAATAGTAATAATGAGGGAACGGGAAGGTACAATCAGAAGAAATCTTTCAGTTAAGGAAGACACAACCACTTCTTATGAAGTAAGTAAAATAACTTTACAGCAGGATCGCCACTGACTTCTATTCTGAGCCATGTCTGATAACGTTTCTAGCCACTGTGTAGCACCATCTCTCGGATCCCAACCAGGGAGTCGTGAAGGACCAACAGAAGCCAGTCCTTTGCAGCCTTCTTTCATGCCACGACACCATGTCATGCACTGACCACCTCTCCGCCTCTTCCAACCAGTCCCAGAGTCGGCAAACAATGCACGACGTGGAATTCTCTGGGGCGACATTCGTAGAACATGCCCAAGCCACCGAAGTCAGTGTTTCAAGATGGTGATACCAATTGCATTATCGTCTCTGTGCAGTTTTGTTGAGCATAACACTAGAGAAATTGTGTATGTAGTGATCTGGATTAGATGGAAATTTCATTTCTGGAATTTGTTTGTCTAGATCTCTCTTAAGTTTCATTCTTTTCTTTTCTTGAGTTAACAACCATCGACATAGTCCAGATATACTTCTCTTAATTTATCAGGCAGGTCTTCTACCGCGTAGGGCATCGCAGTCCATGTTTACAAACTTGACCTTAGCATCTAAAGGAAATTCGTACAACCACTTTCTCTGCCCTGGCCTTCAGTATAAAATTTCCGTCATAAGAACTATTTTTCATACTTCTTCCACTTCTTTTTTTTAAATTTTCGTAATTTTGTTTCTATTGCTTTTGAACCTTATAACTTCTCAACATTCATCTCTTGGTTTTTACGTAACTACTATCCTATTGACCATCCGTTAAAATTCTGTTCCTTCTTTGTTTCTTATATTACGCAACGTAACAGAAGCCAGTCCTTTGCAGCCTTCTTTCATGCCACGACACCATGTCATGCACTGACCACCTCTCCGCCTCTTCCAACCAGTCCCAGAGTCGGCAAACAATGCACGACGTGGAATTCTCTGGGACGACGTTCGTAGAACATGCCCAAGCCACCGAAGTCAGTGTTTCAAGATGGTGATACCAATTGCATTATCGTCTCTGTGCAGTTTTGTTGAGCATAACACTAGAGAAATTGTGTATGTAGTGATCTGGATTAGATGGAAATTTCATTTCTGGAATTTGTTTGTCTAGATCTCTCTTAAGTTTCATTCTTTTCCTTTCTTGAGTTAACAACCATCGACATAGTCCAGATATACTTCTCTTAATTTATCAGGCAGGTCTTCTACCGCGTAGGGCATCGCAGTCCATGTTTACAAACTTGACCTTAGCATCTAAAGGAAATTCGTACAACCACTTTCTCTGCCCTGGCCTTCAGTATAAAATTTCCGTCATAAGAACTATTTTTCATACTTCTTCCACTTCTTTTTTTTAAATTTTCGTAATTTTGTTTCTATTGCTTTTGAACCTTATAACTTCTCAACATTCATCTCTTGATTTTTACGTAACTACTATCCTATTGACCATCCGTTCAAATTCTGTTCCTTCTTTGTTTCTTATATTACGCAACGTAACAACTTCCTTGATTACTTTGAATATTAATAATCCTCTTTCTTCCAATTACTCAATGTTAATTTAAATGTCATTATATAATTATTATGTAACGTATCCACTCGATGAGTACTATATCATTATTGTAGAGCCATGATGAAGAACTAATTGGAAAGAATTTTCTTCGCTCAATTCGTTCCTTCTTTAATTACCAAATGGCAAAGTGGGAATTTTCACTATATTAAAATCTCTGAATTGTTTATACAAAATTGCCAACCAGAATACTAACATGAATCAAGCGATGATTTAGTCTAGAAAACACATGTTTTAATGCTTCGTAGTTACAACTCCAATTTTGACGAATTGTCCAGTGCTTCCAGGTTTTCAATGGTGGTCTAGCTTCAACTGACTCATGATTTAAATCTGTGAGAATTGTTTAATGTCAATTTATTTGTAACTATACTATCGAAAAGAGTTCTGTAATTTACTTGAATAAAGGGAAGTCTACATACATTGTAATCCCTTGGTCTAGAAATTTCTGCATATAGGGAAAATGGTCAGGATAAAATTGTTATCTTAAAATATATAGTAAAAAGACATAAAAGACCTTCTAGTGGTATATAGCTTTGAACTCATTAAATAAACGTGTAAAAACATATAAACCAAGCACTATTTCTAAATGTTCTTTAATTATAAGAAAATGATTGGTCTGTAACGCTAATTTCAGCTAATCTGTTATCTTACCTAAAACTCTTCATAAACTCACGACTGTATTTATACGCCGAATAGTCTACAATAAACTGATTTGTTTACAAGCTTATGTTTATGTAGCTACCATTTACTTCCAGGTTGATATTTATTAAACTTTCAAGAACAATAAACGCAAGAGAGGTTGGGAGATTGATAGTTGAATGGATACAATAACTTAAGTTGCTTAGACAGGAACGAGGTTAGAAACTTAACATACATAGTCAAATAGCAACCTATCATTGGAAGTCTTCATTTATATGTAACTATATCAAATACTTATCCATCCATCTGAAAAAGCTATAGTAATCTGCGCAAATTCAACTAATATTCAGTTATGCAATTTAGTTACCCTATAGTTCCTGATTCTCTGTGTACAAGAAATATAATCTATTACACCTCAGTTGATCTATAGTTACTGTCTTATTTTCATCAAGCAAAGAACACGATAATAACGAATGTCAAATAGTAAACGTTGACTGTTGAATTATAATTCAGTATGCGTAGTAGCCACTACATGTGATAGTTCTATTCTTTGAATATGAACTGTTGAAATAACTTGACGATGAAACAAGTTGTCACATGTTTGCCGGGTTTCTTTTCCAATTGTTCTTTAACTGTTATCGCTTCGAAATAGCGAATTTGTGGGAGAAACATATTAGTAGGGAAAAGTTTTATTTTTAGACTATGATTTTGTTAAATTATATTCTCAAACCTTTCTTATGATACATGTGACTCTTATCTTTAAATAAAAGTTATAAAATAACAACACATTTTCCCGACCACAGCTGCTACATTGATGTAGTAGTTGAGCTCGCCTATCGTGATCCAACTGAGTTTTATTTTCTGGAATGCATTCTTTTCAGTTCTGTCATGACATGTAAGTCCGTTGATAAGATTAGCGTAGGAAAACTAAGATCAAACTACAAAGTCATACTGCCAAATGTGCTGGAATGAGAGTGTAGTAAAGTGTTTCTCTTTTAAAACCAGCATCTTCAGGCTTATTGCCTTCTCACAATGGAAGGAGATTTTAACAAAAATAGACCCTAAAATTACCACATTTCAGTTTCCCCTAGAAATTTCCACTGTTGTCGATGAGGTAAAGGAAATTGGAGCTGATAGATCCAAAACTATGCAAAGTTTTGCATGACCAACCTCAAACATCTGTTCCTTGGTCCCTGTGATCATCAAGACCACTTTACTAATCCAGTCTGCTTATCGCACCCAGGAAACAGTATTTTTCCACGATTTGGACAATCTAAAACTAACAGCTGCGCACAATACTCGTAACAACAACACTGATGAAAATGAATTGTTAAATTCAGTGTCAATGTATTGACAATTCATTATTAATTATTAGAATTAATTTATAAACAACTTATTCTATCCTACTGAAGGAAAAAATAGTGATTGAAGACTACTGTTATTAATAATGACAAGTAATTTCTTTAATTATCATGTTTATTAAACTTATCTATGTGTTGATTATCTGTTCATTTATGGGTTCATCATATATTTAGACTCGAATAGCGGAATTGGAAGATTTTCACATTAATCCAGATTCATTTTCTAAACAACTGAAAATACATTTAGCCTGTTCAGCCGGGAAAACAGACGATCAACAATACCCTGGTAAAACTGTCATTCAAGCCCAAGGTGTTCACCTTGTAGCTATCTCGAAATTACTTACAGGTATGATGAATAAAATCTAAGAGCAAATAATAGCTGTTGTCTGTTTATATATATATATATTTCATACGTAATTGCACAACTCATTGGATAATAAGTTGAGTAATCGGTGTTAATGTTTATCGATCTTTATTTCACTTTATTAGATGAATGAGTAGTTGTTGACTGTCATATTATATTTAAATATTCTCAGGATTTATGTGACATTCTATTTTGTCATTACGATAATTACAAAGACCGCAATCAAGTAGACTGAACTTACTAACATAACTCAGTTTGACAGTCGATAACTTTATGAATAGATCCGACTTCTTAGCTTGACCCGCTTAGATTTCTTCCATCCTACTCTTACTCCGGCTTAAGTTGTATTAAGTGATTGATCATTCATCTCAAAATATTTGAACTAATTTCATATTCAGGAACAAATACTTATAATTAAATAAAGTTGAATATTTGTTTTATACAATATCCTAAATAAACCTAATGTACAGACACATATGTAGAACATAAAACTTCATGAATAAAATATGTCTATCCAAGTTTGCATATTTCACAGCAACACAAAGAGCAAAACTCACTACCTAAAAACATGAATCCAATTCAAACATTGTTAATTCTATGCCTGAAAGAACCAATTATTGCGTATCGATACATATTTTCTACTAATAGAGAAATCGTTTCACAACCTGAAACTATTTCGAAGTGGAATGTTACTATGCATAATAGTTTTTCGATAACAATGGAATATATACTAGCCTATTTTCGTATTTTATGTACGAAATGTTGACGGACTTGATGGAATCAGTTGATTAACCATTCAGCAAATTAAATAAAAACTACGGTGAAATAGTATTGTGCTATGCTTCCCTGGCTTTTAATGCTTGTCCATTTGATGGAATTCAATGACCAAAATCATCACATTGAATTAATGTTAAGCAGCCGATTAACGAAGCGCATTTTTCAAATTTTAATTTCAGAACTAAATACTAACAGTAAAATTATGATCTACTTTAAATTTAATTTCCTTTTTTCATTACAGAATCGTATTCAATACCAAAGCGATTTATTAAAGGCTACACAGAACCAGATAAAAAGAAGTAAATGTTAGATTTAATCACTGACATATACTTTTTTGTATACAAAATAATTGAAATTTCTCTGTAGAACTTGCTGAATTCAATGTACATTTTTTTAAAAAAGTACTTTAATAATCTTATCACTTTCAAATGTTGAAATTAATCATTTTAATGTGAATAGAGTATTAGTCATTGAAACCCCAGGGAGTATGACAATCACAAGGTGAATTCAATAACTAAAAATTCGCTTACTACACTACAACATACAGAACCACTATATTCAGATGCTATGTGGTTGGAGACAATCGGCAAAAAACCCTAAACCCACGCTTCAGGCTAGTCGCCACTATTCAACAAGGCGTATCTGCAATTCTGAGGGGAATGATGCTCCACGTCGGATTCGAACCAGCGCCACTCAGCTTCACTGTCTAAGATGTTAACACTGAGCTATTCGAGATGCGATTAATCAGTGAGACAGACATTTATAAATGACTAGTCACTGAATAGTACTCAGTAACATGTTTGTCTAGTCTGTTGGTTCCGACCAAATTCTATGAATAAAATTGCAACTTGATATATATATATATATATATATATATATATATATATATATATATATATTTGAACACATAATTATTGGTACAAGAGGGCACCAAATATATATGCGCCACACAAAACAATGAGAGTCAGAAGAGAAAAAAAGGTAAGGAGCGTAAAAAAAGAATAACGAAGAGATTGATATAAGGTAGTGTAATAATAATAATAGTAATAATGAGGGAACGGGAAGGTACAATCAGAAGAAATCTTTCAGTTAAGGAAGACACAACCACTTCTTATGAAGTAAGTAAAATAACTTTACAGCAGGATCGCCACTGACTTCTATTCTGAGCCATGTCTGATAACGTTTCTAGCCACTGTGTAGCACCATCTCTCGGATCCCAACCAGGGAGTCGTGAAGGACCAACAGAAGCCAGTCCTTTGCAGCCTTCTTTCATGCCACGACACCATGTCATGCACTGACCACCTCTCCGCCTCTTCCAACCAGTCCCAGAGTCGGCAAACAATGCACGACGTGGAATTCTCTGGGGCGACATTCGTAGAACATGCCCAAGCCACCGAAGTCAGTGTTTCAAGATGGTGACACCAATTGCATTATCGTCTCTGTGCCCGAACACACGATGCCGAGCCTCTGCATTGCTAACATGGTGTTGCCACCGGATGCCAGCAATCCTTCGGAGACAACGATGACCAAACACAGAGAGTCGTCTAACATCCTCAACTCGGAGAGGCCAGGTTTCACATGCATAGAGAAAAACTGCTCTTACCGACGCGTTGTAGATCTGACCTTTTATAGCCAGACTAACATCACGAAGGCAACAAAGATGGCCCAGATTGGCATAAGTCGCTCTGGCTTTCACTATACGTGCATTGATCTCATCACTCACACCCCCACCAGCATTTATGCAGCTACCTAGATACACCAACTTCTCGACTACTTCTATATCTGCTCACCATCCAGGGTGAGTACAGGATTAGGATCCTGCCAGTCTTGTAGAAGTACTTTGCACTTCGAAGGTGCAAAGCACATACCATACCTACGGTCAGTGATTGCCAACTGATTAAGTGCGGATCGCATGGCTTGAGCATTATCATAAAGACAATATCATCCGCATACTCAAGGTCGATAAGTCTTTCTCCAGGCAACGTGGCATCAGTGCTTGAAGTCACTAACTTCTAGTCTGAGCCATATTGTTAGATGCAGACTACTTGGTTGGGGTCCGCGTGACTATCGTAACCAATGGTTGGTGACATGGCTCAGAATCGATCACAATGGCGTCGGTGTATACACTCCCTGTCTTCCCTTAAACTATGAGATTAAAATCGCTTCATATCTTTCTTTCTACGAACCAATTCTTTCTTCTTGTACTATATATCTATATGCAATCTTTCTCTTATATATTACCACCTTTTACCTAACCACTGTTATGAATCCGGTATTCATCTTGTTGTGTTGATGCGGTATGGCAACCTGGACCGATGTACATATGTGCCTGGTCCTACGTTGTAGCTGACTCTCCAGGCAACAGATCCACACCACTATTACTTGCATCCATCAGAGCTGTTTCCAGAATGTCGTCGATGGCAAAGTTGAAGAGGAATGGTGAGATTGGGCAACCTTGCCTCACCCAACTGCTCGAATAGAACAATGGAGAAAGGTGGTTGTATGCCCTCACTCTGCCTGAGGTGTTAGCATATACAAATATGATGAAATGTCGATAATTATGATATATATATATATATATATATATATATATATATATATATATATATATATATATATATATATATATATATATATATATATATATATACTGGTGTGTCCTTCAGATAGTTCTTAAAATGTGTACAACATTAAACCATTTTTCTGAAAGACATTTGCAACTGCTAAGATAGTTAATGCTGCACATGACTAATCAACAACAACCTCAACTTATGATGTCGAAGCAAGCAGGCATATAGGAAGACAAGTTCAGTCTGTTAAGCCAAAATATGTGGAGAGTCGATTATTATTGACCTGTGGGCTTTGGCGTTGGGACAAGCAAGAAAAGTGAAATCAATGGTCAGAGATCATATACAATAATCCTTAAAATTAAGCAGAGTAAAGTGACTGTCTTTATTACGAATTATTTCAAATTTTGGTAGTATTAATTTTATAAATTAAATCACTGACTGAATACACATTTATTCAGTCGACTGAATGTTAAAATTTCAAATATTTCCATATTGTAAATTTAGAACAACATATATAAGCGAACAATATTGTTTTCAATTAGATTCTCATCAGGCTTTACTCTAATATACAGTAATATTTATATGCATATACGAAATTATTAAACCAATCAGTGAACTTGAAAAATCAATGTATCAACTGTGAGACAGTTAAATCCTTTCCTTTTTTTACTGAGACGATTGCAAAGTTAGACAGCTAGTGTATTATTTATTTATTTGAAAATATAAATATTGGTGCAGGGAGGCACTATTAAAATGAGGTTGTGAAAAAATAGAGGAAGGGAAACGAATATAGTAAAAAGGAAGAACAACAATGAACAGAAATTAATGTGTAAAACTGAAATAATAATGATGGGAGAAGCAGTTCAGTTAGGAAAAATACAATCAAAAAGAACTCTTTCAGTCAAAGAAGTTACTCTCATTTTCATGAAGTAAAAGAACGTTGCAGCAGGATCACTACAGGTTTCTATTCTGAACCACTTCTGACAACGTCTCAAGCCATTGTTTTGCACCATCTCTAGGACCACAACCACGGAGTCGACAAGGACTGACAGAAGCCTGCCTTGTACAGCCTTCTTTTATAGCACGACACCATGTCATGCACTGACCTCACCGCTTTTTCTAACCAGTCCCAGAGTCGGCAAATGATGCACAATGCGAAATTCGTTGAGACGACATTAGTAAGAAATGTCCAAGCCACCAAGGTCGGTGTTTCAAGATGGTGACTCCGACCGAATTATCTTCGCTGTGTCCTAGCTCACATTGCCGAACTTCTGCATTACTATCATACGTATTACATTTCCCAACCATATCAGTTGGTGAATATTTATTACCTCATCAATCGACCACCCATCCCTATTCCTAATGGCCATGTTTCACGTTCATGAAGTTGAACGGAGAGAGCTGCCGCACAGCAAACTCAGTCTTTGGTTGGTAGACGGATATCTCGCCTACGCCACAAATGACGCTCGTTGGTCGACGTTTTACAACAAACTGCTGCCTTAAAACGGAAAGAGAATACAAAAGCCCCGCACTAAAAATAGCACACTTGATGTTGTGGATTTTTGTCGCCCGCGCTAAGGCTTGTACGTACGGATTTAGCACATCTAAAACTATCACTAAAAACCGTATGCAACCAACCTCGAGCAGTTCTCCTTTAGGCATTGGGATCACGTTCCCAATTCGCAAACACTACTATTATTCCGGTTTTCTTTACAGATAACTCAGGAAATCCCTCATCACAGTGCAGTCAACCGAGGAGAGACAATTGTCCACATACCAACAGTACTCAAGACCCTTTTGTTCACGATCAAATTCATTCATCACTTATTATTATGACTTAATCATCAATGCTGACAACTCGATTTTACGAAATGGTCTCGAATGTTCGTACATTATATTGAATAAAACAAGCCTCTCCGGTCATTTACGTATATTACATCTCCGAAACCGTACAGATAGGATCACAGTGTGACCATCCGTTTGACCGCACTTCATCCATATGAAGAACTTGTGTGACCTACTCGTGTATCTGGACACTTCTCCTACTACACATGACCGAACTGGAGTAGGTACAGTAAAATACTATCTCTTATACTGAGTCTTTTGAAAGGTCTCCTGTGCACTGTTTGGAACACTACGACAAATATCCATTTCGTTGCCTCCTGGTCGTCTCTGTATACGTTCTCAATGACTGCATGCAAAGTGCGATCGGTAAACAAACTCACCAATGATAAAGTGAAACGCCCACTACCACATTAAGTTTGCTTAACCTTGTACGACTATCTTGTTTATTCACCAATCACAATTTGATGTTCATTATAAAACAGTGTTTGGTTTGTTGACTCATTTTTCTTATCGTCTAGCTACTGTTCGGTATGCTATTTATGTCTCTGCTTTTCCCTGTGTTAATTAGACTGTACTGTTTGTTTTTGTACACTAACGGTGTTGATTTATATTTTAGAAACATAGTTTATTAAGCCAAATAGCATACTTTGACTTTGGCTGAACCAAAACTGTTCGACAGTCCAGAGAATAGCTTAGAGTTGAACCTGTAGGAAATTGCTTCCTACACTGCAGTTCTGGCCAAGTAAGGTGAGTTTCGCAGAAAACTTGTTTCCCTCTAATAGCCTAAACGCTGAATGTCATAGCTGTACTGAGGGGTTTTAACACTCAGGTGGATATATTATACAATACTAGAAGACACTTAGGTATGTATTACTGTATCCGAGCTTACGAAATAGATAACGGGGAACTGGATCCTACAACATTGCCCAGACAACCGTTTCTTTCGAGCACCCACTAACTTTTAGTTGAAGGAAAAACATCGTCTGACGAGGTGATCTCCAACAGTGACCTAACGATTGACCAAATCTTAACAGTGAGATAGCTGGAGTTTGGGAACTGAACATAATCCTTTCTGGCTGAACGTTCCAGGTTGTAGGAAAGGATAGAGACCCTCTTGTAACAGAAGAGGTATGTAGCGTTTAACACACTAGCCTCTATAATCATCCATCATTCAACTAAAGTTCTTAAAGAGCAGACACAGGAAAACAAGGGTAGATTTAAACCTGAACTTGGAAGTGATGAGCGATTATCCACTTTTCCTCAGGTTTCAAGGAATAAACACACGTATCGATGCCCATCTATAGTTTTATTCCTTCACCTCAATAATATTCAACTCCGCTGATCGTGAGGTTTTGTTGAAGTGTCTGCACTGGGAAGCATACCAAGATAAACCCAACAATGTACAGGCTCTTCATTTAAACACCACTTTTCGAGTCTAAGTGAACTGTTATCAAGCGGTATGTGTTAGCCATGATCACTCCCCCGAATTTTATTCAATTTTATCACATACATACTTCCTCATCTAACTTCTCAAAGATTGGTGTACCAGATTTAGAATAAATAATCCCACTTTCTGAAGACGCTGACAAAATGCAGTTCTGCTCTTAATCAACCATGTTTGGAATGTGTCTCCCCTAAATACAAAACGTTTCTTCATAATTGATCTACTTCAATGTCTAAACTTAATGATAGGGGTTGGGTTTATCTAGCGTGTTGATAACTTTAATTAACTTTGGCAGTCTCATCAGCTTCAGTGGCCTGGTGAAATCTATGTACAAAGTCAGAAGTTTCGGCTGGGTAACGTCACTTGTAGCTTAAGCAAGATGTTCGTTTACCAACCACAACAATTCGCTGTTTTAATTTATGGCTGTGGAATGTGGCCCTTAAAAATAGAGGATATTTGTAGGTTACTACTATTTGATCATAGAAGCCTTTGAAACACTCCTATAGACTGTTGGGGCCTTCGACTAAACAATGTTAAGGTTACACACCGGACATCAGATTGAAAAAACTAATTTAATGAAGCTACAAATATCCGCAACTGAGGTGGTCGGGACATACTAAACCAGCCTATCGACCGTCTACTTTCATGCACGAGGATGACTGATGTAGTACGTTTAAAAAAAGCTAAGAGTGATCAAACCAAAGCCCAGCGGAAGACACTGACTGTTGCTCTTGGGGTTAACTATTGTAAATAAATGCAAACTGCCGGGTGGTGTGTGTGCTTTTCGTAACCAATGGTTAGAGATTTTGAGTGGCACGGCTTAGAATCATTCGTGATGGTGCAGGTGCATTCATTCTTTATCTTCCCTAAGATTCTATATTCTTCATAAACTTTTTTACTTCACTAATGTATATTTCCTCGAATCGTATCTTTTATGCCTAATCTTTTATCTTACTGCTAACCCTACTACTGGCGGGATTTTCCCTGACAATTTTACCTAGCTGCCCTTATGGGGTGTGGCAACTTTAACCGATGCATATATGTGCCAGATCTTACATTCCATATTAATGGTTGATTGTTCAACATGTAGACTATAATAATAAAATACATATTGGCGAAAACTACCAAGTTTCTTGGGATTGAATACATCCCAACGAACATTTGTAATTAGGGCGGAAAAAGTGGGCAAATTATCATTTTGCTGAACGTTGTCACACTTATTCAATTACAGCCGATAGATGCAGAAATGCCATACTAATATCAAAACGTAAAGTTCCCCAATATTAGAAGCAACCTGTTTGTACTCATCCTTCCCGATAAGTTTCTGAAATAGTCAGGAAGTTCGTGTATCTCTATAGGTATATGAGTACTGACTGCTGTGCAAAATGACTTAAGTGATAATTATGAAGTCCAAAGTTATAACAATTCACGCTTTATATACATAGTGATAAATTCTTAGAGAAATATCTCAAGTTATATGCTTAATTTGTAAGTTGAAATCGTCCGAATACGAAGTTGGGAAACACTGTTACTAAGAATTAATTAAAACTGACGCTTTTAATGAATATATCAGCAGTAAATTACTACATATTATACCTCATCTAACATAAAGTCAAACATTTAGAAAAATAGTGATCTATAATCTGATTAAAAAATATTAGACGATATATACGACCATTTACAAGAAAAGTAGCGGTCGAATAAATTTCTCACATGTTTACATGGAACATTTGAAATACAAAGTACAAGAGCTGTCCTGATGCTAATCCTGTTGCTTGACGGGACTCTGAAGTCGACGACGTAGTGCATTTGTAATCCGCTCAAAAACACTAGGTTGAGTTTGTGAATCGATACGACGTTGTAAACGGGATAAATAGTTGGATGCTCTTTCTTCAGTACCAAAGCGTAACCAATACACATCTGGATGAGATTTGCGAAACTGTTCATTGAAAGATGTAAAAAAGTAAAGAAAATTAAATAACAAATGTATAAATGAGAAAACTTTCCGGATTAATTCTTGTAAATTCTTAACAATAAGATAATTATGAGTGAATGACAAACGTAATTCCTGACTGTTGAATACACTGAGAAAAACTATCGTTTGTATCACATCACCTCAGAATATATATATTTTATACGAAAACAAAATGGTAGGAAACAACAGTACTTCGTAAACAAAATTAATTTGAACTTACATCTTGAAGACATTTCATTTTTCTACGTGGATTCATGTCACGGTCGTTGAGAATCTGATTTAAAAGCTTGATCAAATGAGCTGTATTACCTAATGCAGCTAATCGTTTTGGATCTAGATCGGACTACAGAATTGCAAAAAAGTGAGCAGGATAAATTATGGAACATTTAATTAATAGTATTACAATTCTTTAAAAAATCATGATTGGTGAGGTATGTAAATGAAAAACGCTTCATGAACCTCTAAAAATAAAAACTGGTTGGAGAATGTCAAAACAAACCAATGGTTTGCTCCAGCCGACACTAGCCAACGCGAGATACCAACGATTGTTGGGTTCTTTAAACAAAATCCAGGCTATGCTCTTTGGTACCCAAAACCTTATGTATTATTGAACGAAATGTGATCGCAACTGGACGAACACCTACAATTACTCTTCCACACTATGCGCCAAAACCCCTTGATCCAAACCCCAAACATTAAGAAGACAAAACCTAGACAGCAACTGCGAATATATTTTGTGTAAAAAACATTTCTTTTATACACAGATCTTTACGGTGATTGTTGATTACATTTAAATGATTTGAATACTGAGCAAAGATATAACAATAGTGTTCCATTATGAAATAATTAATAACTAATCACCATATAACTTCCTTTCAATATTTGATTTTTCTATAAAAATTAATGACATATTACTATAATCTTTCAAAATCACACAGCATTCTTCTATCTAATCGAATGTTAAAGTGAATGATAATAACACTGAATTAATCAGTAATTTTACTATTGGCTTCCTACTATTTTTGGAGCTTATCTTGTTTATTTTCATGATAATAAAAAAGTTTCGAGCCACATTTAGGTTATGGGTTATCGTAAAGATCAGTCAGTATTTGACTTAAAAATGTTTTTTCGTTTCAGGACAAAACTGCGACACAAGACAACACTAAACGATTTTCTGCATTATACGTTCAGTGGTTTTCTACTACTATCTCCAGGTAAATTGTAATTTCTTTTATTTGTGTTATAGTAAACCAGTTTTAATATTTCTCGGTGTCTAGATGGAATTTATAGAATATTTTACCGATTTTCATGGCAATTGAATAAGGAGAGCTGACAGACGACTTCAGAAACTGATTTCCATAGGGTCAGACGATGAATGTAAACCCATCAAGGTGTTGCCGAAACCCCAGAAAACTCCCATGTAGATAATAAACGTAACTAAGAATGACCTAATACCAAATGATCAGTAACATGTACATACCTGAAAAAATATACTTGAATTTAAACCAATCACAGAATTTTCTACACTCCAATTCCCGGAACGACCAAACCGACCGGAAGACTCTTCACTGATAAAAAGTGTAGAATGTGATTTTATACTTAGATTTGCAATATCTAAATTACTTTCATCAAATATACGACGACAACTAAAAGTAGGACGTGGAGAGTTTTGTAAACTGCTACTTCTACCATTTTTTGTAGGAGTTGATGCAAATTTGATTAGATTATCTTGTGATCCAATTGATTTTGACAATCTACCATCTAAACTAATACTGGATGCTGATCTGATTGGTGGAATAAATGCTGGTAAAGATGATGACGATGATGAGCGAGCAAATCCGGACTTTCTTGAACCCTGTGACTTGAAACCATCTAATCCAATAAGCTAAATCGATCAAAAATGAACAAATAGGAAAGCTAGTAACTCGCTACAATTAATAAAATTGATGGGAGTCTAAAATATATGAATGACTAGGTTTATACTACTAAAACACTTGATTGCAAGTAGCAACAATAATTCGACAAATTATAATTGAGAGGATTAATAATCGTGAAAAATTATTATTATCATTTTTAATACGATTTAGTCATGAATATTTTACTACAAAAAATATTGACAATGAACATAATACTAACCTCTTCAATGTGTCGAATATTTTCTTGTTCTGGCTTAATATTATCGCTTGTCGTATTATTAACATTATTTACAGATCGTAGACAAGACTGTAAACTATTGGGTGATGTTAAGAGGAAGTTTTCCGGGTCACAAAGTAACAAACAAAGAAGACATTCTCTCCAACGAATCCGTGAAGTTGTTTTGTTGACAGCGGAATCACTTGATACACGTAAAAGTAGTGGGCCGAAGCGTTTTACAATCTTTGGGAAAAAACATATTGAAAAGTAAATATCTCAGCATAAATTGATACAAAGAAATGACGAAATTTTATTTTATATGGCATGCACGCACAATGAGTGCTTCGATGGGAAATGAAAAAGGGAATGATCACATCAAACAAGAATATCAAGCCACATACTGAAATGTAAACCTTTTGATTAAGCGATATGAGATTACTAGTCTTAAAAAATATCAGGTGATTGATTATCGCATCGGGTTAGAGTCATGGTGTAAACACCAGCACTGGAATGCAGGTACATCCAACTGACGAATCTCAAAAAGGACGAAAAGTATATCCTGATATCTACAGTTAGCCACTGTAGAACTCCAATTAATACGAAATAGTATGCTTTAGTAGTTTATATTAATATTACTACTCATTTATTTTGCCTTCATTAACATTATTTTTTTCCTACTGTTAGTGATATTGTTGGTTTAGTAACAGTTTATTTAAATTTGATTCTTCCTTAACTATGCAGATAATGAATACACGTCTATACTATGTTTCGTCATTTGTTTATGTCTAATTGTATTACACTGAAATCTCTACATAACCATAAAACCGTATATTCGAAATATAAAATATCATGAAAATTTTAAAAACAGAGATATTTTTGGTGACGAACTCATATTTCTATTACTGATTTTTAAAGTGTCGATAGAATAGAAGACAGGCTTTTAACTATTGTGCACTAGAGAGGGTGATTGGACATTCGACCACTGGGTCGCAGATTCGAACTATATTTTACACCTAACTCATCTGAATAAAATAACTACTGAACCATAAGTCATAACTAAATAATAAGCTAATGAAAAAATGATTCAGAATTCAATGAATTTACATCGAAAACATGAAATGTAATAAGTATAATAGAAAAGTTTTCTTTCGTAAGAGAAAAAAAGAATAATCATATGACCTTTTAATGACAACAGATTCATATGTAAAGAAAACATTTATTCATTATTGTCCATCTAACATAGCATACACAAATGTATTTTTAGAAAATTATGGACATACAACCCCACATGTCAAGATATCATACTACTACTAATATATGTATCAAACAAATGGTGATTTGTATTAAAAAGGAACTGACGAGGTTATGTTAGAAAAGAACGTGTGATTCAGCTATTAAAACAAAACTATTACATGAAATATTAACGGTAGGTTAAGAAAGTCCTTTTACAGAAAGAAGAAAAATTAGAATTTCTTAAAAATATGAAAAACTTAAACATTAAAATTTTCCAGGTAGAAGTTAAGTGAACAGCTGCAGTAATTTTTATTTAATTACCTTATCCCTATAAATGCTGTACACCGATAGAATTTGTTGATAGATACTAAGTACGCGTTATATGACTAATAAATGGGCTTGGCAAGAGAAACGGTGCATATTTGACTCTCGGGATCTATTCACACATACCTTTTTGCACTAATAGTGACTAGAATACTAAGTATAAAGAGATGGCATAATGAGTGGAAAGCTAGCATTTTAGGCAGTAGGGTAAAAATCTGAAGCCACAGGATCCACTTAGTTTCATTTGAGTTACCGGGTAATATTAGTAGAATTTAAATGAATTGTGATATCAAATAATTCTCATGAACTTACACTTGATTAGTGAGTTATAAAAAATTGAAATGAATAAAACACATTGAGTGATGTACATGATAATACTAGTGTGAATGGGACTGTCATTTAATTGGAAATGAACGGTTGTTCTGGTGGTGATGGTTTTTTGTTAGGCAGTTGATAAATTTAGCCAACTGAATTAATTTAACTTATGAATGAACCGAAGTCATGAAAATGATGAGACAACATTGCATTTGGACAAAAACAATCTTCGGATAAAACTAAAACAAATCGTTATACACAGTTGTAATTAGGACAGACAAACACATATTAACACGAAGTAGTTTAAGATGTCACACAATGCAACAGTGCAGAAATAGAGAAACGAAAGTAGTGAAAAGATATTAAGATATGAAATATAAGTAAGATTAAACACAGCACATAAAGAATAACAACAATTACATCATGCGTTCGAGGTCGGTTGAGGTTGATTTTGAATCATATCAACCAGACTCTTCAATGTTTGATTCTTTATTACTCAGGACCCTAAACAACCCATTACTCCATACCCAATTAAACATAAATATTTTGTACAGTTCTCTTATGGAGAAACAAATACACACACTTGCTCTATATGTACCATAAACTTTATTTGAGTTAGTTTACATTTAATAAGTAAAAACAACTTATTACAGCATAGATGAAACATGTTCTTTAAAGAAAAAAAAACATATCGTCATACATGCGAAACCTACCACATGCAATGTAATTTCCAACGATGATAGAGTATCGGATGGTAAAATGTTTTCAGACTTATTTTCAATATTTTCACGTGAACCATAGTTTACCAACCACGAAGCTAAGCGTTCATGATTTGATAGAACTCGACGCAATAAATCAACCATTATTTTTAACCGGGAAAACATTACAGGTGGTAAAAAAAGTAAAACTAGTTGACAAGCAAGAGCTAAATCATAACTTTCTATGATCGGCCAATGGTGTTGGATAGACGATATTGGATCACTGGGTATCCGATTAGATAAACAATATGCACAGCGATCCGAATGTTGAGTATATGAGGTAGTAGGCAAATTACGATCATTGTTAGATTTACCAGAATCTCTTTGATGATTGATTGTGTTATATCCGTTGAGGTGATGCAACTCACTGAAAGTAAATGTGATTACTACATAGATGTAGGCTACGGGTAAAAATTAACAAAACTCAAATTTCAGAAGTGTACTTAGCAAGTATCAAAGGTCGAATAAAACCAAGAATTCGGTTAAGGAATATATAAATTGTATTATTATGAAAAAAATCAGATATGACTGTTCCAATAAACTTACTGTTAGCTTACACATACTTACATAACTAAAGAACAATAAAATCAAAACGAAATTCAATGGACGAAAATGTGTTGTAGCTAGAAACATCACCCGATTATTTAAATTCACTCAACACAAACAAATTGCAAAAATATTTGGGATTCAAGTATCACAAAAGAAAAAAATACCATTTAGCGATTTATTTAATCTCCAATCGATTGGGAACTAGTGCCATACTATTTTGGTCCACTGATTAATATAATCACCGCATGTAGCATGAAAAAACAACATTGAGTATCTTGTGTTATAAATACTCGAACATATTTGATGATGGTTGTGGTAGTTCCGCACGTTCCAGCTCCGTACAGTAGAACTGTCTTGACGTACGTATTGGAGATCCTCACTTTGATATTGGTTTATTTTGAGTCCCATATATTCTTCAAATATATAATTATAGCCCTTGCTTTACCAATCTTAACCTTTATGTGTGCATCGGATCTTTCTTGTTCATCGATGATGCCGTCTGCGTATGTGAAAGTATCCATTTCTTCCAGTTTCCTCATCAATAATTATTCGGTTTGTCCTGCATTTTGTACTTGGGGATCATGCCTTTTCCCTTGTGTATGTTAAGCACTACTACTGCTACACTAGCTATTTTCGTCTGCATTTGTTTGTGTGTATAGGATAGAAGGGCCAGGTCATCTGCGAAGTTCAAATATTCTAATTGACTCCGAACTGTCCAATGTATATCGTGCTTCCTCTAAGATGTGAAGGTCTTCACAATCCAGAAGATTGAGGGAGAGTAAGCAGTCTTGTTTGACTCCGATCCTTACTTGGAATGCGTCTGTCAGCTGTTCTCCATGCACGACTTTGCACTGTGGTCCGTCGTATGAGTTCCGGATAACGATGACGATCTTCTCAGGTACACCATGGTGTCAAAGACGTTACCATAATGTTTTGCTATCCACGCTGTCAAACGTCTTCTCATAGTCAAGGACATTGATGTGTAGTGACGAGTCCCATTCAATTCATCGCTCGATGACGATCCATAGTGTCGCTATTTGGTCTGCGCACGACCGATCCTTATGGAATCCAGCCTGTTGATCTAGAAGCTTGAGGTTTATGAATCTTCCAGCCGGTTCAATAGCACTGTTGGAAACGTTCCAGGTATTGATAGCAGTGTGAAGCAATTTTAGTTCTTACAAGCTCTGAGATATCCTTTCTTTGCCACACTATTCACATTAATCAATTAATGTTCGACTCACTATCATTTTACCCATTTAAGTATTTGTGGATGATTTTTCCACCAACTATGCCGCTTACTTTGTTCTTACATAATAATTCATTGAATGGTTAAACTGAATTACTTCATACTCCCCATAAATTCCATCATATTTATAAGATGAATTCGTGTATGGAAATGTCATAAAACTCAAAGTGAAATGAATACATGGAAGGTTTTAATTATCATTACCAAGGTTTGACTTGATAATTTCAGATAAATTGAGCATTGGGTAGATTGTTATAAAGAAAAAAACATGTCTGTATTATCCCAATGAGTAGAAAAATTAGACTTTCCGACGTTTTGTGACTCAGTGTAAGCCACTTCCTCAAAGAATAAATAACCATATTAAAATTAACCCAAGTCTAAATAGTACAAAGAAACTGACCTATCCAAGAATTCCTCCAAGTGTTTTACTTTATGGTTTACTATATTTCCCTACCAGTTTCTTCGTTGTGTCATATAGTTGTTTGATATTCCCTTCTCTGACAGCTTTTTATGCTGTCATTGCTAAATCTTCCACGTATTTCTGCTTCTCGGCTCCAAAGCTCTTCTTCACTTTCTTGCTTGTTTCTGTGTATTCAGCTTGTGCCTTGACTTTATCTATTCTTGTTGTTAATTGCTGTCTTCTTGTTCTTCTTTTCTTGACTGTTGTCTAGAGTTTCGATAGAGATCCATTCCTTATGATGATGCTTCTTGCTGTCAGGAACCTCTTGACTTGTTGAAGTCAATGCTTCTTTGATCCCTTCCCAGTTATTCTCCATATTAGTTTCTTCTTTCAGTAGATCTTGTAAGGCTCGGAACATGTTGTTGAGAGCTATCTTGAATTCTTTGAGTTTGACAGTATGTCGAAGTAAGGCTGTATTGAACCTTTATAATGCTATTTTCCCAGTTGTCCAGTGTTTTTTAAGCTTCAGATTCACCTTGGTAACCACCAGTTGGCTGTGATCTGACTCTATGTCGGCTCCTCTCTTGGTTCTCACGTCTCCCATTGATCTTCTGAATTTTTTTTAATGATACAGAAATGATCAGTTTGGTTCTCTGTAGTGTGATGATCAGGTCATTTCCTGAGCACTTATATATGGTCGACTGCAGCCTGAAGAAACTGCTCTTCATCGTAGTCATTGATATCATTGGTGAGTGCACAACACTGGATAAGCTTAATTGTGATTTTCTTCTCTATTTCGAAGGACGCTTTGATAATTCTGCATCCAATAAATTCCCATCCAATAAGTGCTTTTCGTGTTTCTTCGGACAGCATCAGTGCATCTCTCTGCGGGTGCGAAGCTTTTTACTTCTACATGACCAGAGTTTAACAGCATCTCTCTCGAAGCTAATCTTTCTTATCCAGCTTTGGTCTAATGGACTTCACTTATTCCGAGCATCAATAAGTTGTATCTCCTCATTTCCGCAGCTATTTGACTAGTTTTCTCGGTCTCCCTCATTATCCGAACATTCCATGTACCCATACTAACTGTTGCTCTGTTTGTAGAAGAGGCATCGGCCTCATGACTCCCGGATGATCTCGGCTTTTACTGTGAAGTGTCATAACTAGTAGCCAGTTGATTTAATTTGTTTAACTTCATTCATTATAGATATGCATATATACTTTTTTGAATATATTCACTATTTTTGCTCCTTTCTTTCTTTATTCACACGCATAAATTTATATTAGATCAAGCCTTTGTTTATATACATTAAAAACTGCATGCTGCACATATATTTTTGAAACCATACTCGTCCACACACAAAATCACCCAGTGAAAATCTATATCTTTTAACTGATTTGTTATGCTCATCACAAGTTCGTAAGGTTTGTCTTCTGGTTTACTGGCACCACTACTGTAAAATATTCAGGTTACAAGCAACCCTAAATGAAACTGTATGTTACAGAAATAAGTCATCAGGAAATAATCATGGTGATAACCTGCTTTTACAAATGTGTAACTTGTAACCAGAACAGCTTCGCGTTATTGAGCGCAAGTCATATTACCCAGTAATCTTAATTATTATAGATGGAAGAATATTCGAACTTTTAAAGAAACGGTTGGAAAGTGAGTCGTTTAATCACTAAGCCACTGGTTCATGATACTATAGATAAAGAAACCCTAAGGATTAAAGAATTCTATATTATAATAAGCGAAATGAAACTGTGTCGTACAGAATGGCGTTGTGGTAGATTGATAACCATCAAGCACTTCAAAATACAATGAAACAGCTGTTCGATGACCTTTAGCAATTGTATAACATAATATCAATTTCGGATAAAAATAACATTTAGTTATCAACATTTTTTATCTTTTAAATCATAAGTTAACAACATAATACATTTTTTGCATGGTAACTCACTGATGAACTGTTTCAGGAACACTGTGACTTCTTGATTTCCCCGTTTGAATTAACATACTACTTAACTGAATTGAAACAAAGAGACAATAAAATCTCATGACGACTGACTTGATGTTTACATGATTTTACACAAGTGTTTAAAAAAGAATTTTACCCATTTAAAATTCACTTTGACTAATTTCGTTTCTAAATGATCAGATGTGGTGTTCATAACTTTGACTGAATATATGAAAATACAATTTAATCTGTATAATAAATAGAAAGAAACTGAGAAATACAAATACTGATGTATTAAACATGAGGAAAATGATGTGAATGATCAACAAACCACTGACCAATCACCATTTTCACCAATATCTGAATTATCTATTATTTTTTCAAAAATAAATTATCAAATGCTTTTAACTTAACTAGAGAAACTTTCCCTTTTATGCACGTAATGAAATTACATCACAGGAATACTTTTCCATCAGTTATTCTCATGTGTTCTGTGAAATGGTCAGGAATACAAAGTTAATAATAATAAATAATAGTAATAATGATAATAAAACACATCGAAGATAGTATAGAAAATTCCCTTGATAGCTTTGATTTTCCACAACTATTTACAGTACATTATATCCAGAGTCCATCTACCGTTTATTTCTCAAATATAGAACAAATGAGAAAACTAGCTAAAACCAATTTAAAAAATGGTAACTTATCATTTCAATGTTGTTTCATCGAATGGTTAAGTAAGTAAGCGTGTATCGAGCTCATATACTAAATTTTTGAAAAAAACCGCAAAACAGGAATGAATCAACAAATTTCATGTATTCGAGAAAATGAAATCGATTCATTCACAAAATAATTCAGTATACGAAAATGAAAATATGTATAGTCATTAAAGTATACTGATACTAATAAAATAGGCTTACATTTTCACAGTTGTGACCAGGATCAGATGCCTTTACATCAAATCTTAGACAGTTTACAATCGGTGAAATAGGATGGTATTCAGTGACTACAGGGAAATTATAACATTAGCAAAAAGGAGATAATTATATTTTACAATGACAAATTAAAACATGGAATATAATCGTATCGAACAACTTAAATAATGTGCAGTTTAACCAGCTCACAAGATAAAAAATAACTTGAGAGAAATATCATACGTCAAAATTAACAAATAACAAGGAGTTGCGTTTGTATATAATTTTTATTTTCATTCTAGAATTTTTCAAGTTTCAGCAACGCAGAATAAAAGCAATTCTACTTATTTTGAAATGACTACGCACTAAACCTTCAAATACAAGGTAGCAAGTTTGACCTTACCTCCATATACTTAGTTTTAGGCGTCTGTGTAACATCGATGTCCTTGAAAAATGAGCGTGACTTAAACCCCGGAAAAAGAACAGTTAGGAGAGAATGTTGAGAAAAGGGTTGCTGACAGATCTATAAATACTTTTAATTAATCAAGTCGAGCCGTTGTCATGTGCGTTGAAATACAAATTTCTGTATTTGGTCTACACATTTAGCCACAGTAATAAGTTAATTTATGCATGAATACGGAAGTGACTGACAACGATAGTTCTCCCCTAAATATGTATTCAATATGGATGTTACATAAAACGATCCGAATTGATCAACACCGTACAAATTTCCTACTATTGAACATAATCTCGTGATGTAATCCGACTATGATCACTGAAACGTAAGTTGCCCATCTAAATCACATGCCATAAAACGAACATTTAGCTTAAAGGTATAACTAACGATAGACGCTAGATGTGATTCCATTGCTCCGACATGGATATAAAACACAGATGTCACTTGAAAGAAATATGCGTAAAGAAATGAGAATAATGGAAACACAGACTAACAGATGACAAAAAACTCCAGTGTTTTCGAAAAGCTAGGATAATCAGGTCAAATGTTCGACTACACATTATTGCACAAGCACCAAGCCTCCGTCGAAACAATTATTAGGTACAAAATAAAATGACATATTAACTTTGTGATGCACATTTAAGATTATAATAAAACATACATAAACTTACATGAGTTGTCGTCATGTGTAAAAGCTTTAGATAATGAATGTCCATTAACTTTTTTATGCGAATTGTTTGTATCCCTTAAAGATGTAGTTAAAGGTGGGAGTGAAATATTTTGGAGATTATTTTTATCACCACCATGTGAACTTATCACATTAGAAGAATATGTCTTTTCAAACGGCTTTAAGTCATTGACGTTACTTGAAGCGGAATTAATCCAACCTTTAAGAAGACTATTCATCGTCGCTAAAAGTTTCGCATCTGGAAAGCTGCCTAAAAACAAAATCGCACTAATCATTACTTTTCTTAAAAAGAACTAAAGGTATTAGACTGTTCTATCATATAAATGAAAACTCAACTGATTACTAATAATAATTATTTATGTTGGTTTTTGCTTAGTTATTACAGAAACGATTAGAAGTGATCCCGATACGATATAGTTTGTATAAATTAACCTTAAATTCTAGACAATAATAACTATTAATTCACAAAATATGAATAATATATTTCAATTTATAGAAAACACATTTTAAAAAAGAATGAATAGCTTCATTAGTATAAAGGTAAACTGATTATGAAAATAAAACTCATCTAGAGATGGATTTATTTTAAGTTGTAATATTAGACAATTTGTGAATGATGAAAAGTATTCAGAGGTTGAAAAAACAACTTTTATACCTTGGATAAAAGATTAATTCAGTTATCTTAAATAGAGCAAGAACAAAGATTGGTGCAGAATAATATGAATTCATTTTATTTCGTTAGGTTCTCATCAGCTGCCTACAACCTAAATTATTTGAAATTCAACTTATAACAGATATTGACATAAGAGTGTGATTAAGGATCAATACATGTGTATGATGATGTAGAAAATATTCAGATAGAGTTAATGAGCTCATAAAATGTTTGATTCGAATAAATAAATAAAGTTAGAGAGTGAAAGTTCTGGAACATTGAAATAGTGATTAGAACTCATGAAAATAGATTAATAGTAATAAAGAAAATATGAATTAAAATCAATCATTTATGTATGATGTAATTTAAACTTCAGAAAGAGTTGGAAGATGAGGAATGACGTAATAAATAAATAAATAGGAGCAAATGAATGTTGTTTTGGACAGGACATGTTCTTTGACACAATCAAAGGTCGACAGGTATCCCTTTCATGTTACCACCAACTGTGTATACAAATTTACATGTACATGCCAAAGCAGTTACATTGGTAGAACAGAAAGGAGAGCCTACGTCCGATTAAAAGAACATATTCCGAAAAGTTTAAGGTTAAATGGATTAAACGCATTCAACAGTGCTATCGCAAGACATCTCCTTGATACAGGACATGAAGTTGATATACTGAAGTCCTTCAAAGTGATTAACAAACAATCAAACTCCAACCTTTTGAAATTCGCTGAAGCGTTAGCAATCAAACGTTTAAAACCAGATCTATGTATACAAAAAGAGACAGTAATAAATCTTTCTTTACCCTTTCTATTCATTTGCTCCTATTTATTTATTTATTACGTCATTCCTCATCTTCCAACTCTTTCTGAAGTTTAAATTACATCATACATAAATGATTGATTTTAATTCATATTTTCTTTATTACTATTAATCTATTTTCATGAGTTCTAATCACTATTTCAATGTTCCAGAACTTTCACTCTCTAACTTTATTTATTTATTCGAATCAAACATTTTATGAGCTCATTAACTCTATCTGAATATTTTCTACATCATCATACACATGTATTGATCCTTAATCACACTCTTATGTCAATATCTGTTATAAGTTGAATTTCAAATAATTTAGGTTGTAGGCAGCTGATGAGAACCTAACGAAATAAAATGAATTCATATTATTCTGCACCAATCTTTGTTCTTGCTCTATTTAAGATAATAAAGGGAACTATGTGTATGAAATTAATTCAGTTACTGTCAACTATATTTCTGGACTTAACAAAGAATTATTTAAACACTAGCCTCATGATCACAAACTTAAATGCACAAATATACACATTAAGGATAAAATGTTTAGAATAACCAGGACTTTCGCAATCTCCACAGAAAATACATTCAATCAGCATGGAACTCGCTACTTGATTTATTACTGAACACAAGACCAACAAAAAGCTAATAGCTGAACCAGATTCTGAAGTATGGAAATCATTAGATGAATGAAGATACAATCGAAAACAAAGATTTTTGAAAATGTAAAACAATATGCATCACATTATTTTTTTTAATTGTCAGATCCAGTCAGCTATAGTCAATGTAAGATGTAGCATAAATGTGAAACTGTTAGGTTTAAAGCTTCACGAGTTCACTTAAACTACGAACGAGAACAATACTCAGTGACCAAAGACCAGTAATCTAACTGTTGACGCGTCCCATCCCCACTATCTAGAAGGAGAAATCCAGACTTGGTATGGAAAATATATTCTGCAAACAGCCAGAAAACGAACGAGCAAGCGAACAAGCAAGCACTCACACACAATTTAAAACGTATATATATATATATATATATATATATATATATATATATATATATATATATATATATATATATATATATATATATATATATATATATATAATCGATATTGTCATAGTAAAATGTGTTTTTTGAACATGACTCATTAAGTTCATCAATCGACAGGCATTCAAATATTTAATCGATAAGTTTATCATTTGAATTCCATTCAAATATTTAAATATTTAATCGATAAGTTAATCGATATGATAAAATTATAAATATGAATTTTGGGGATATACCCTCCCCAACAGAAACCATCCAACTTGTCATAAACCCAACAATACATTAAAATGAGGTTGATAAGATGAACAGTCAAGAATGGAAATCATAGTAATATCAATGATAGAAAGAAAAACTTAACACGAATATCATTCAAAACGACATAAGTGGAGTCCTAGAGATAGTACAATTCAATGGCTTGAAATCTTATCAAACATGGATCAGAATACAAACCGGTGTTGATCCTAATGTAATTTTCTTTGCTTTCTTCATGAAGGTGAGAGGGACCTCCTTAACTGAAAAAAATCTTTTCTGACTGTATTTTTCTTAAGTGAATGGTTTTTCTTATCATTTACTGCTCTCACCTTCCTTTATCTCTCCACCATTTTATTTTCTTATTGAATGAAGCATACTTTGGTGTTCATTTGTATCAGTGTTTAAACAAATAAACAATAAATGAAAGTAGCTCTTATAGGGTTACTGCCGGTCCCAAGCCCGGGTAAAGGAGGAGGGTTGGGCATGGGGTTAGCGTCCCCACCCCGTAGAAAACTAACTCGCTAAAAAACGCTTACCAGAAAAAATAATCCAAGCCATTTAAACTCTGCCCTGGGAGTTAGAAGGTCTTCATTTAGAAGAATTATGACGCTTCATGGTGAAAGCCGAGTTCCTTCGGAAGCCACGAGGCCGATGCCCCTTCTAACAACCAGAGCAAAAAATTTTATAGGTACATGGAACGTTCGAACAATGTGGGAAGCCGGGAAGACCAGTCAAATAGCAATGGAAATGAGGAGATACAACTTAGCAGTACTGGGAATCAGCGAAACCCACTGGACCCAAGCTGGACAGAAAAAGCTAGCTACGGGAGAGATGCTGCTATACTCCGGTCACGAAGAGGACAATGCCCCACACACTCAGGGAGTCGCTCTTATGCTGTCCAAAGTAGCACGAAATGCACTTGTAGGATGGGGATCTCACGGATCCAGAATCATCAAAGCATCATTCAAAACAAAGAAGGAGGGGATCTTAATGAATATTATCCAATGTTACGCACCCACAAATGATAGCAACGACGACATCAAAGATCAGTTCTACGAGCGGCTGCAGTCAGTGATTGAGAAATGCCCAAGAAAGGACCTAACTATTCTGATGGGAGATCTAAATACCAAAGTCGGAATAGACAACACTGGATATGAAGATATTATGGGACGACATGGACTGGGAGAAAGATTTGCAAATCTATGTGCATTCAACAAATTGGTCATAGGAGGCACAATATTTCCACACAAGCGTATACACAAGGCTACATGGATCTCACCGGACCACACTACAGAGAACCAAATAGATCATATTTACATCAACAAAACATTCCGAAGGACAATGAAAGATGTGAGAACCAGGAGAGGAGCTGACATAGCTTCAGATCACCACCTAGTTGTGGCCAATTTAAAACTGAAGCTAAAAAAGAACTGGACAAGTGGACAAACAGCACTACAAAGGTTCAATACAGCCTTCCTTCGAGATACTGACAAACTCAATGAATTCAAGATAGCTCTCAACAACAGGTTCCAAGCCTTACAAGATCTACTGAAAGAAGAAGAAACTAGTATGGAGGACAACTGGAAAGGCATCAAGGAAGCATTAACTTCAACGTGTCAAGAGGTTCTAGGTCTAAATAAATACCATCATAAGGAATGGATCTTTACAGAAACACTGGACAAGATCAAAGAAAGGAAGAACAAGAAGGAAGCAATAAACAACAGCCGAACACGAGCAGAGAAAGTCCAAGCACAAGCTGAATACATAGAAGCAAACAAACAAATGAAGAGGAGCATTAGAGCCGACAAGAAGAAATACGTGGAAGAACTAGCAACGACGGCGGAAAAAGCTGCTAGAGAAGGAAATATGAAACAGCTTCACGATACAACGAAACTAGCAGGGAAATACAGTAAACCAGAGAGACCGGTCAAAGACAAAGAAGGCAAGCCAATCACTGAAATTCAACAACAACGGAACAGATGGGTAGAATACTTCGAGGAACTCCTGAATAGGCCGGCTCCAATGAATCCACCGGACATCGAAGCGGCACACACAGATTTTCCCATACACGTCAACCCACCAACGAAGGAAGAAATCGGAATGGCCGTCAGACAAATAAAGAACGGGAAAGCAGCAAGACCAGACAACATACCAGCTGAAGCACTGAAATCAGACATCGAAGTAACTACAAACATGCTTTACCTCCTATGCGAAAAGATTTGGGAGGAGGAACAAGTGCCGATGGACTGGAAATAAGGGCACCTCGTCAAGATTCCAAAGAAAGGAGATCTGAGCAAAAGTGAAAACTATAGAGGCATTACACTGCTGTCAATACCAGGGAAGGTCTTCAACAGAGTGTTGCTGAACCGGATGAAGGATGCAGTAGACGCCCAACTTCCAGATCAACAAGCTGGATTCCGTAAGGATCGATCATGCACAGACCAAATTGCAACACTACGGATCATCGTCGAACAATCAGTTGAGTGGAACTCATCACTATACATCAACTTCATTGATTATGAAAAAGCATTCGACAGTGTAGATAGGAGGACATTATGGAAACTTCTTCGACACTACGGAGTTCCTGAGAAGATTGTCAACATTATCCGGAACTCATACGACGGACTACAGTGCAAGGTCGTGCATAAAGGACAGCTGACAGATGCATTCCAAGTAAGGACCGGAGTCAGACAAGGCTGTTTACTCTCTCCCTTCCTCTTTCTTCTGGTGGTCGACTGGATTATGAAGACCTCGACATCTGAAAGAAAACACGGAACACAATGGACAGCTTAAAATCAATTAGACGATTTGGACTTCGCAGATGACCTAGCCCTCCTATCGCATACACACGAACAAATGCAGATGAAGACAGCCAGTGTAGCAGCGGTCTCTGCATCAGTAGGCCTCAGCATACACAAAGGGAAAACCAAAGTCCTCAAATTCAAAGCGGAAAACAACAATCCAATCACTCTTGATGGCGAAACTCTGGAAAATGTAGAGTCCTTCACATACCTAGGAAGCATCATCGATGAACAAGGAGGTTCAGATGCAGACGTAAAGACAAGGATTGGCAAAGCAAGGACAGCATTCCTACAGTTAAAGAAGATATGGAACTCAAAACAACTTTCAACCAATATCAAAGTGAGAATCTTCAATACCAACGTCAAGGCAGTTCTACTGTATGGAGCTGAAACTTAGAGAACTACAACAACCACCATCAAGAAGGTACAAGCATTTATAAATAGCTGTCTACGCAAGATACCCAACATCCATTGGCCGGATACCATCAGCAACAGCCTTCTGTGGGAGAGAACAAACCAACTTCCAGCTGAAGAAGAAATTAGGAAAAGACGATGGAAATGGATAGGACATACATTACGCAAATCATCAAACTGCATCAAGAGGCAAGCCCTAACTTGGAATCCTGAAGGGAAGCGAAAGAGAGGAAGGCCAAAGAACACATTGCGTCGGATAATAGAAGCAGATATGAAAACGATGAATTACAACTGGACGGAGCTGGAAAGGATTGCCCAGGACAGGGTTGGATGGAGAATGCTGGTGAGCGGCCTATGCTCCTTCACGAGGAGTAACAGGCGTAAGTAAGTAAATGAAAGTTCGTCTCTTATAAACACAATATTTCGACTATACTTGTCACCTTACTTTTACTGTTCAATTTCAGACCTAGAACAGATGATAATCTATAGAAAGTGCAAAGCTTATCTACAAATAGTTTAAAATATATACACAAAAGATTATCATCAACTCACAAAAAATATAATCCAGAAGTAATTCTGCTGTCTTTGGGATGCAGCAATGTTGAAAGTTTTCCAAATGGGAAATAGTAATGGATAGAAGTGAACTTGGTAGACGTTTTCTTTCACAAACTTTTGATTGATGACCGATATTATTTGGCCCTATAAAAACAACCATAGTTTGAGTTCATAATTAATGACGCTTACATTTGGACAATGCATCTAGACAAGTAATAGCCACACGACTGACTAATTTCCCAGTTGAATTCTTTAAGCAATTATGCCAATTTTCTAACGCTATACTGTTTGTGTAAGCCGCAGTACCCATATCTATTGAAAAATCATTAGGCAGTGATGAGGTAGATGAATCAATGTTCGACGATTTCATTATTGACATCAGCTCATTTCTATTTGTTTCCATCACGCAGGACAAACTGATCATATAAAAATAAAGATGAAGGAAAATGAAAAGACGGTGTTAGCGAAAAATTCAAATGTTCAACTACATTATAAAGTAGGTAAATGATTATTATGTTACTCCATGGTGTTTTATTTTGTACAAATAAGTCAGATTATAAATTTTTAAAGTTTAAGTGTAAAAAAAATTCAGTAGTTTACCGTCTAATTATCTCTTCGAACCATAAATGAGATTTTGTATTGGTTAAGACAGATTTACAACAGCTATTATTTTCAAATACATCTTCTTGAGAATTACCGAGAGATCGGATACCGGACTCATCAGCACTTTTTAGCTGACTTTTGCCTATATAATGAATAACAGAAAACATTATTAATGAACAAAATAAGTAGGAATATTTGATATGCAGATGGTTTAAGTTGTCTCATAGTAGCCCAGCATAAATAAGATAAAATTTATCAAAATCGGTTACTTTGATAAAAGTGGATTAAACTGCCTCAATTTAGACAAAATAGATGCAACTCAATTGTACTCAGCTCTGAGTCAAACCATTTTATATGAAAGCTATAGATAATATCGGGTCATCAAAATCAAAATAGGCGAAGCGGCGTTCGAACCGACAACTAAATAACTAGAAGCTGAGGGCCTTAATCACTACGCTACTACTCCAATACGCGATCTACACAACCTAATTTACTTAAGTTTGAAATCGATATAGATACGGAATTATTTGACTCATCATATCATCTAACAACATATATCTCTATATGCAATCTTTCTCTTATATATTACCACCTTTTATTTAACCACTGTTATGAATCCGGTGTTCATCTTGTTGTGCTGATGCGGTATGGCAACCTGGACCGATGCACATATGTGCCTGGTCCTACGTTGTAGCTGACTGATATCCGAAGACATACAAGAAAACAGGAGCGAAGACCATGTCCTTAATCATCTTGAACTAGAAAAGCCCACTTACAATTTTCACTTCAATAAACACAGCCTACTTACGTGGTTATAACGGAAAACAAGAAACTTCAATATTTCTCATAAGTGAGTTTTGTCTCGTTGAACAATTGTTCTGTATTAACTCATTCACCATCTACAGTACTCACGAATGTTAGATATGGCTTCCTTTTTGTACTGTTATTAATATTAGACAGTAGGTTAAACACAAGTCCCCCAGTATACAAAACATTGTGATAGGACCCACAAATTAATATGATTTTGATAACTGTTAAGAAGAGAAATAATACGGAACGAAAGACTTAACCAAATAACAGCTAAAGGTAACTTAAACCTTATAGAAAAAGTGAAACTAACCTTCTGTGGAACTTCCATCTGTCAATCTGCAAAAGGTGCTAAAAAACTCCTCAATCCTTTTCACATTAAAACTAGAAAAATATCTGGAAAGAAATAAGACCTTACTAGTATCTGGAAAAGAACATGTTTTGCTCAACCTGATAAACGAATCCCAAACTCAGGATAAATTCTAAAAACACGCCAACAGTTTCGACGTTACCACCCTCACGTAGGAAGTAGCTTTCACACCATTTAGTCGCTTCAGCGAGTCGGAACGGAGAATTGAACCGTGCTTGAAATTCTTTTAAGATTTTGAATAACTAAAAACTAGTATTTTTACGAAGACAATACTTTTTCTTTGGAAGCGAAATTTTTAGCTGACATTATTAAATAACAGGACGTCAAAATATATTTTTATCAAATCAATCTACAAAAGACAACGTTAAAACAAAACCACGAAAAATACATTTACGCTTAACCAGCATTTTACAGTATGGAGAAGACTGCTACCTGGTATTACCTGTAGTGCCATTCAGAATATCATGCTACAGAGTCCGCGTTTAAAAACAGCTAATTTGAAGAGCATACACATGGAATCAAACCATCATAATATTAAAATATACAAAAGGTGAGAACAATGATGTAAGCACCATAAATTTGTTTACAAAGTGAGAGCTTGATATAAGATCACCACCAAAATGTGCCATATAAAACGAAACGATGTTGTGAAGGAACGAAAGGCATGTGGTAGTAATAATCAGGATAATATTAAAAGAATACAACTCAGATGATAAAACGGTCAATGTTTTAATCATCTCAAATATAGTTCAGTAGCGCTAACATATGGGTTTAAAAACTAAGAACGAGAAGTGTCACTATAGAATTGCATTCAGATTATTGCTTCAAATAGACATTATTCACATTATTATATAGAAAGAATAAACAGAATCATGGTTACTTGCTGAATTATTAAGTATGCGACTAATATTTTGTTAATTCCTAAGTCTGATGAACTTGTTCGATAAACTCATCACACCTTCTGAAGAATGTTCCATAATTACGTGTATTCACCAGCTGACATACAATCTGAGTAGCCATTATGTGACCGTACGACAAGACAGTATTATCAATATACTCAAGGCTAAAAAGAAACTTTTCCCAAGTGACATTACCACCACTATCACTTACTTTCTTCAGTGCTGTTGACAGCACGCCATTGCAGAAATTGTAAAAGAATAGACAGATGGGATGTTATTTAACTTTAATGATAAGTAGTGACTGTTGTCCCTACCTGAGATGCTTTTGCGAAATGACCTTCAGTGTGTTACCAAACTTTAGACCCATCAGTCCAAAGCTCCGTATTTTTCGACTTAACAAGCCTAATCGTGCCATTTTTGAATCCCTACTTTGAAGCATTTAGTATCACATCTGATGAATTAAAATACTGTTTGGCCTTTCATATTTTACTCTACAATCAAAATTGCCTGCCATTAGTCAAGCATCACTTTGCTAAACTAAGTTCACTTCCATCTCAATAAAAGTAGAAATACTTCTTGTGTTTAATGAGTGCCTTCTGGTGAATTATTCAAACACACACAAGCAACGATACATTTGTGACTCAGTACATATAAGCTAACTTTTTCCTACATTCAAAGCAGTGATTACAGTTACGAAGTAAATATGACAAATTAAGTCATTTACCAGATATTTAAGCACAAGAAACACTAGGTGTGAGCTAGTGACACTACATAGTTTCCTTAACTGAAGCAGACTTCGAACTTCGGAGTAAGTGGCGCAAAACGGTCGGACTTAATGGCCAATAAGATAGTTTCGTAATATAATTGTTTCGGAAGTACATTGACAAGTGACATGACTCAGAATCGATCACAATGGCGTTGGTGTATACACTTTCTGTGTTCCCTCAAACCGTGAGATAAAAATCGCTTCATATCTTTCTTTCTATGAACTAATTCTTTCTTCCTGTACTATGTCCTTATATACAATCTTTCTTTTATATATTACCACCATTGAATTAACTACTATGAATTCGGTGTTCATCATGTTGTGCTAATGAGGTATAGCAACTTGGACCAATGCACGTATGCGCGTGGTCCTACTTTGTAGCTGACTGATATGTCTTGTTCAGTCATATATTTACTGGTCCGAGTTGTCACACTTTATTAGCAGCGAGACAAAATTACCAAGACATCCGAGAGAATTAAAACCAGTAACAGTAGGAGCAGTAGAAAAGATTAGGAATAGAAATGAGAAAATTATTCGGAGATTTCGGGACTCAGACTCTAAGGGAAGACAAAAAGTGAATATACCTATGCCATCGAGAACGATTTTAAACCATGCACAGCATCTCCAAACACTGGTTGCGATAATCTCATGGACCCCAACCAGGCAATCTTTATCTGCGAGCTTGGCCCAGTTCCTGAAATCATGGACGGATGCCATATTTTGGCCTGGCCACCCCTAGCTTTTTTCAATTTATTCCTACACTAACGTGGTGGTTGAGTACACGTAACACATGTCTTGATTACATCAATGGAAGACTCATTAACTGACTAACCAAATCTTTAAATTTACCTTTTACCCTATCCCTAACTTCACTACAGCTCATTTGGTGGTTCGAAAGTAAGCAGGCGACGCTTTGACAAAAACTATGACTAGATACCAATAACTTACAAATATTCATCATTCCTAATCTACATGGTTTATACACAAAAAGTACAGCAGAGCACAGTGCTGCAAAGAGTACTCGTTCTTTGCCTGGTACGAGATGAAGTTGACAAAACCTTATGTGCGTAAACGATGAAATGTGAAGCTAAGAATGGTAAAGGTTGAAGAGTAGGATGATGGAACCCAAAAAGGCAACAAAAATGACAGATAAATCGCGTAAATAGAGACCCAGGATTTCCAACTTTTATTCTTGATTCACAGATCCTACAACCCGCATAAAATATACTACAGGGGATCACATTAAAGAAGTGAGTTATACTGCCCTTGAAACCGCTTAAAGATTCTATTTGTACTCACTAAGGAAATATAAGACCTGACGACCACCATTCATGTATATGAAGATTGTAAATATAGTCACCCGTAAGATTCAACAAACTACACAAACCTAACTTGTTCACTTACCAATTTGTTTATGTATAGCGCTACATGCTCCAAAGAGCCTTGAGTAGCTAGACGGTAGAGTAGGTAGACTAAAATACCCTAGATGATAAAGATGGCTCCACTAAATAATAACTGCCATATGACCATAAGCCAGGCACAAACAAAGCACATGAAGTAATGGACTTTCCAATTTCCTGACAACCTCACAAAAAAAACTCAAACATTTCCCTAAGTTGGAAGCTGGTATTAAAATAAAAATACTTTCTAGTACGTCAACTTCTGGAGTTAGTACGCAAATGAATAAACAAAAGTTCTTAATAAATTTGGAATGCAACAAAGTGATAGATAAGAACTCAACAACTAACGAGATAACACGCGAAACTCCAATGGGAACAAAATAATCCGGGATTAGGCTTGGACGCGCCAGCACCCTAAATGCCGCCGGAATTGTTATTTAATCCAATCCGCTTCATTCCAACAAAATCAAACACCATAAGTGTCTCTATTTGTTGTCTTTAACGATGTGAAACTATCTGCCGAATCTATTACCAGCTCTTAACACCTTGAATTTTCATGCCAAAATTTTCATGAGGTCCTATTTTTCAAACTTAAAAATCTACTGTGCGGGACAGTTACTTTATTGTAATATTTGTTCGCATCATAGGGGAGGCATCTTGGGCGCTGAGGGATAAACTTTTTTTATCAACCTCCTCGCGAGAACTTGAAAATATCAAAATGTAGTACATATACCCTCAAAAGTTATGGAGTCTCTCATATATACGGTGGTCTATGTAACTACTTAGTATCCGTAAAACTTCTTTTCTCCTATTAGCGGTAAATACATCACCAAAATCAATAGTTCTGTAAGTTTTCGATATTCGATGCTGATCACCTTAATTTTAACGGACTCACCTAGCTGACGGTGCTCTGCCATGCCACCGGACAAGTTCACTAGTGAGAACTCCGTGTTCAACACCCCCTGCAATCGCTAGCCAGTCTAGATCAGTCAGTCATCGAAATATTGACAGCCTACCAAATATATCTTTGAACCTCCTCACCTTTGACTTTTGACTTCACTTGGTGGGTACGATTCATAATGGAAGGTGTTACTGTTTAAAGAATTGTCAAACTCCAAATACCTGTGACATCATCAACCCCAACAGCACAGTTTCAGGAAGATTCACTCCTGTATGATCAACCTGCCGACCATGGTGAGCAGATGAACAACTATCTTTGTTCCCAAAGGGAAGGTTGATGTCACGGACCTTGTCTTCCAAAAGCTTTTGATAAGCTATGTTCCACATGTCACATCGATAAAGCTCAGACGATTAGACGTCAAATCACCATTGATTGATTGGCTTACTTCATATCTAAAAGATCGATATTAACTTCAATTTTTCTCAGGCTATGCAATGTCCTATCGGGGTCCACCGGGGCTCAGTACTAAGTCATATTTTCTTAATTCATATAAACGATCTTCCACAGTAGAGTAACTAATTTTCGCTGATGTTTTTAAACTCTGTAAAGAAGTTTGCGACCAAAAGGATGATCTGGAGCTTCGTGAGGACCTGACCCAATACCAACAGAATTGTCTTTAACATTCCGAAGTGTAAAGTAATCCGTCTGCATACCACGAATAAAACTTAAATAACTCCCTCTCTAGAGGTATCCCAAGAGTCTTGGTGCCCTATAATCTGAATTCTTGCAATAACTGTGACAAAAATCCTTTTCAAGCAAACCTTACACTGATAAGGTTGAAGTGCACTTTAGGTCAGTATGACGAAAGAACTTTCTACCTTATCTTGAACAGTTTTATTCAAATCCATTTGGAGAATGGAAACACTGTGTTTCCTAGAGTATAGACGTCTCACAGGTGACTTTCTAGAGTCTAACAACATCCTAAGCACTTCTGGACCCCTCCTCAAACAACTACTTAGGCTCAATGTCAACACAAAGTTTGAGGTGACATCCAGAAATTAGAGACACAACATGACAGGATGGACTGTAAGCACACCTTTTTACTCATTATGAGTTGAGCTAACTGAACCATAGACCTCATCCAGTACCGCAGAACTGTCATGATATAGTTATCTATCTTATGGGATCCTATATAGAAGTCACAGCCTTGGGTACTTTGACTTGTCTCACCTTGGCAGCCATTAATGCATTTTTCATCAACCCCTGAAGAACGCAGTTGAGCTGAGGATGGAATAATGTACTTAAAGAACAAGTGGTTACACAGAGTATCTACGCATTCATCACTGAGCCATTCCGTCCCGATGAAGGGTTCCCACCCTGACCTCTTCTGATCTACTTCAAGTGTTCAACGTTTAAGTTAAGTCCTCTTCTCGCATGTACAGCTTCAAAGACCATGTGATTATGATCCAATACTAACAAGAGGAGCATTAGAGCCGACAAGAAGAAATACGTGGAAGAACTAGCAACGACGGCGGAAAAAGCTGCTAGAGAAGGAAATATGAAACAGCTTCACGATACAACGAAACTAGCAGGGAAATACAGTAAACCAGAGAGACCGGTCAAAGACAAAGAAGGCAAGCCAATCACTGAAATTCAACAACAACGGAACAGATGGGTAGAATACTTCGAGGAACTCCTGAATAGGCCGGCTCCAATGAATCCACCGGACATCGAAGCGGCACACACAGATTTTCCCATACACGTCAACCCACCAACGAAGGAAGAAATCGGAATGGCCGTCAGACAAATAAAGAACGGGAAAGCAGCAAGACCAGACAACATACCAGCTGAAGCACTGAAATCAGACATCGAAGTAACTACAAACATGCTTTACCTCCTATGCGAAAAGATTTGGGAGGAGGAACAAGTGCCGATGGACTGGAAATAAGGGCACCTCGTCAAGATTCCAAAGAAAGGAGATCTGAGCAAAAGTGAAAACTATAGAGGCATTACACTGCTGTCAATACCAGGGAAGGTCTTCAACAGAGTGTTGCTGAACCGGATGAAGGATGCAGTAGACGCCCAACTTCCAGATCAACAAGCTGGATTCCGTAAGGATCGATCATGCACAGACCAAATTGCAACACTACGGATCATCGTCGAACAATCAGTTGAGTGGAACTCATCACTATACATCAACTTCATTGATTATGAAAAAGCATTCGACAGTGTAGATAGGAGGACATTATGGAAACTTCTTCGACACTACGGAGTTCCTGAGAAGATTGTCAACATTATCCGGAACTCATACGACGGACTACAGTGCAAGGTCGTGCATAAAGGACAGCTGACAGATGCATTCCAAGTAAGGACCGGAGTCAGACAAGGCTGTTTACTCTCTCCCTTCCTCTTTCTTCTGGTGGTCGACTGGATTATGAAGACCTCGACATCTGAAAGAAAACACGGAACACAATGGACAGCTTAAAATCAATTAGACGATTTGGACTTCGCAGATGACCTAGCCCTCCTATCGCATACACACGAACAAATGCAGATGAAGACAGCCAGTGTAGCAGCGGTCTCTGCATCAGTAGGCCTCAGCATACACAAAGGGAAAACCAAAGTCCTCAAATTCAAAGCGGAAAACAACAATCCAATCACTCTTGATGGCGAAACTCTGGAAAATGTAGAGTCCTTCACATACCTAGGAAGCATCATCGATGAACAAGGAGGTTCAGATGCAGACGTAAAGACAAGGATTGGCAAAGCAAGGACAGCATTCCTACAGTTAAAGAAGATATGGAACTCAAAACAACTTTCAACCAATATCAAAGTGAGAATCTTCAATACCAACGTCAAGGCAGTTCTACTGTATGGAGCTGAAACTTAGAGAACTACAACAACCACCATCAAGAAGGTACAAGCATTTATAAATAGCTGTCTACGCAAGATACCCAACATCCATTGGCCGGATACCATCAGCAACAGCCTTCTGTGGGAGAGAACAAACCAACTTCCAGCTGAAGAAGAAATTAGGAAAAGACGATGGAAATGGATAGGACATACATTACGCAAATCATCAAACTGCATCAAGAGGCAAGCCCTAACTTGGAATCCTGAAGGGAAGCGAAAGAGAGGAAGGCCAAAGAACACATTGCGTCGGATAATAGAAGCAGATATGAAAACGATGAATTACAACTGGACGGAGCTGGAAAGGATTGCCCAGGACAGGGTTGGATGGAGAATGCTGGTGAGCGGCCTATGCTCCTTCACGAGGAGTAACAGGTGTAAGTAAGTAAGTAACTATTACAGGTACAGCTGTAAACATCTACTTTATTACACCATATTAACATGGTTTAGTTTACACGTAGTAGTAGCAAGAGCAATATATTGAGTTACTATCAACAACCAATCACTAATCCCTGGCCCTTTTCAGGAGTAACTTCAAATTCAAGAATAAGGACCGTAGACGTATCTCAAAGTAAAACACTGAGGCAAAGTAAATTTACTTTGTTCTAAACGACTGCCACAAGCACTATTGTAGACGCCTTGACACAGAAAATCAACAAAGAACAGGAGCATATATTCCAAACAGAGGAGAAGCCAGTGAGGTAAAAGAACAACTTAGTGCGGACATATGCAAAATGTGCAACAATTTAGTCATCAAAGTGACCCTATATTTGTGTATGACTTCCGTAGATGAATAAGCTTCTCTTGTATCTCAATGTTACCCAAGGGATTTTATGACTATGAAGAACCGCGTGAGTCTGTCATTATGGCAAATGACCTCTATGTGTAGGATCTACCTCCTTCCTGATTATTATCATTTTCACTAACACTACTGCCATTACTATATGTAGTAGTATTGTTGTTAAACACCTTATTCGTGTTAGTGTCGTGAGGAAACAATTTCAGGTTCCGTCATAAATGCAGCTTTACGCAAGAGTTTCAACGACAGTTGTATAAAGTTTATAGTAGTTTAACAGGTTCTATAATGTCTGAAAAAATATTAAGTCAATGTCAAATACCATGTGTATGTGTTTCAATAACCATGTTTGTGAGACAGAATATGAATAAGTATTACACAGGACTTAAAGTAAATCATCGTTGAAGATTATGTAAATGGTTGCAAAGCGCATAGGGGGAATGAAGAATCTAGGTGTTTTCGTAACAGCGGAGACGCCAATATTTCGTTTGAACGCAGGATTAACGAACGAAATGTTATTCGATTAGACCAGACTACCTTTTTCTGTTTAACGTACTAAGAGTTTTTGATTTACTCGTATCGAATTACATCAAAACACAAACCCTGTGCTCAACTTAAACAGTTCTAATTGAAGACACATATATATATATATATATATATATATATATATATATATATATATATATATATATATATATATATATATATATATATATAATACCAAATACCTCCAATGGTTCAGCTTGTGTTATACAGTTAAGGGTTTCTTTGGCACAAACTTGTAGAATTATGGTCTACTATAATATTAGTGCTGCTCTAATAATAGACCTAATTCTA